GTTGTAAAGATGCAGGAAATGTCAAACAAACACTTTTATGTGTCTTATTAATTAAATAATAAGACTGTTAACATGCCTAAGAATTGAATTTGAGGAAATGTGAAAAAACAGCATGACTTCTAAAACAATGGCCCGATTATACTAATTTTCAAACTCAACCTGCATTTTAGTAAGATTGACCACTCCTGTGCGTTTAATGACAATTGGTCTATCTGTTTTTCTTATATTGTGTTTACAGTGTTGCATATATGCTAAAAAGTGAAAAAACAGCATAACTACTAAAATAGTGGCCCGATCATGCCGATTTTCGAACTTGACCTGCGTTTTAGTAAGATTGATTACTCCTGTAAGTTTCATGACAACATGCCTATCGATTTTCCTTAAAATGTGTTAACAGGGTTGCATATATGCTGAAAAGTGAAAAAACAGCATAACTTCTACAATAATGGCCCGATCATGCTGATTTTCGAACTTGACCTGCGTTTTATGAATATTCATCAGCTCTGTAAATATAAAGCCAAAAAGTAAAACTGCCCTCCACTAACGTGTTAACAAGGAAAGTGCACGGCGCCGGCATCTGCATCGGCGACGACGGCGACGACAGACGCAGGTGATGGCAATGTGTACAGACACATCTGTGTCTGTACATAAAAATAACTGGTCAGTTATTATAACCAGCGGCCATCTTACCAAACTCCCATGGAGGTATCAACATCAGGTACACCCCAGAAAAAAATTATTTAAGGGGTTAAATTGTTTTTAAGGTGTATGTTAGGTTCTATAAGAAGCTATGGATGGCAAAAATCATTCGGGGGATTATCAAACCCATAGAGTATACCTTTAAGTGATAGGTAACAAAGAGGTCAATATGTTCCTGTTGAATGATTGTGCATTTCTGAAATATTTGTTATTGTTAATTTATTAATTAAATGGTAACAAATATTGTTACAAAATATTTCTACTTTGTCCTTTTGGAAATAAGTATTTGAAAGATGATATCATTTACTGCAGGAACACATAAATAGAGAAATAGACACATCTTTATTGATATCATATATCCCTCCAGGATATGAGTTTCATAAACAATTTCATCCCAATCACATTTTGCACTACAAAATACACGCAATACACGCCATACCACATCTCTGTCTTAAATGTATTACATATATTCCTAAAAAAAAGCCAAGCTTTCTTTACTATCACACTATTACTCAAAAAAAGTTATTCACAAACATAAAGATAAATTAGAACATTGTATATAGCACATCTTCATTTGGGTAAAGGTTGGGTTCACTTCAATATGACCACCAATGGAACTGCACCATTATTACAACATTATGATATATTATTATTATTATGCTGTAACTTTATATGACTGACTAGGACAAAATTGCTTGCATGTAAAAATTGCCAATAATTCCAAAGGAATTTTTTCAGTTTTTTTTTTGTATTATGCATTGCACATTGAAAAAAAATTGAACGAGCACGAGTTCAGCTGAAAAGATGACTTCCTCATACATAGCTATCATTATCTATGAAATTATGGAAAAACAAAATCAAAATAGGCATTTCATTTGGCCTTAAATATTTAAAGTGGCACTGGAAGTGGTAAAATATGTTAAAGTCCGTGCTTTATGACCTGTTGGTAAAATCAATAAGATATTTTGCCTCAATGGGACCAATTCAGATTTTAGTAGCCTGTATATTTCTTACTTGTTACATACATTTTTCCAAATAACAAGCATAGCTCTATCATCAGAAAAACTGCAGGTTACAGCAAGTAAAAAAGCTAGGAATGTATGAAACTAGTTCACAACCAGGCTAAAGCTTGAACCAAGTCAAGTGACATAATATGTATATTATGATATTTATAGATTATTTATCATTTCAGTTTGTTTCATATGTCTGGCACTAAAATCCCATGAATAGTACCTTTAACCAAGCTCGTAACTGCTTAACAACAAAGAAGAATAATATGTAATAAAACTGAAAATAAAAATGGGAACTATTACCAGCAGACAGACTGTTGAGAGTCAGTCATTAGAATATGATAGAAATTATTTTGGCTTTTATTTCATATTACAATAAAAACTGATGATATGTATAGTAGCAGTGAATAAAATAACACATAATAGCTGCCCCCTCAACCAAATGTCATTCATTAAAAGGGCACATTTTCAACAAATTGGCTTGATCCATTAGATAAAGATATCCTCAATACAGAACAATTTGAACACTGTATTATAAACCATTTTGGCATGGAATATTCTCTAAACTACCTTCTATATGGGTTAAATACAATAATTGTATACTCTAACAAAATAATAACAACTTTACTGGGACACAAACCAATTCTCTCTCAAAAAAAGTCCAACATATTTCAAGCCAGTTTACATCATGAGAGCCTTTGTTGTCCTTCTTGCCTTCTCCAGTTTCTTCTCTAACCACTCCAGAATATCCTGCTCTTTACACACTATCACCTTCTCCTCCACACTCTCTCCATCATCCTGGAATAACAAATTTTAAAGTAATAATGCTAACAGTACCTTAACATAACTCTCACACAAATCCACAGATTAAAAAAATATAAAGATATTATTTTCAAAATGTCCTCATTTTGTACTATGTAAATATCAGGGATGAGGCTGCCCTTTAGTGAAAAAGTCTGAAAAAATGGCGTCAGGTCCAGGAGGCCCTCTGCATCAATCTCAAATATATTCTTGGCTTCCAAAGGTTCAAAAATCTGCTGATAGTCAGATAAATCTCATTAATGACATATGCATATATATCTTTTTTCAAATTTCCCTCAAAATCATGCTTAAAAAGAAAAGTTCCTTTCTTTATTTTCACATCATATTTTGATATTACCTTTATGACATTAATGATAAGCTGGCCATTTGTGATGACCAGTGGTCCCGTAATATCCTTGAGTAGGACGTCCCACTCTATGTCCCAGTCTCCCCAGAACTTACACTTGCCCAGCAGCAGTACACGCCTGAAATACAATGCATATATTGACATGTCTGTTAGCACTGGAATATTTTTACCACAAAGCTAGAGCTTTAACTAACTCCCATGGGCATGACCAAACATACACTTGATAACATTTTTTACCCTTTTAAAATCTGATTAACTGACATTGTCAACAATAAAAAACATCTATTATTAATTTGCCATATGCTGTCGCATGATAAGTATATAAACACTGATTTTCCAGCAGTTGCATCAATTCATGAGCTTTGATTCAACATTTGAATCCTGATTCCCTGGATCCCAGGAAAACTAGCGTTCAGAAGGGTCCCACTGTTTTTCTTTTTTTCCACTCATTCTACTGAGTTTTCCCTGGTCTTTTATTACCAATATACTACAATTGTATAACTAACCTGTTTGTTATCACTGCTACATCAGCATTCTGCTGTGCAGACAGGGCTGCGTGTGCCATGTAGACATCAGACTCGGTGTATTTGCCCTTAGCCAGACTCTGTAGCAGCTTCAGTCCCAGGGCCAGGTAGGGTGAATATGGCTTCAAGCCCTGTACAAAATTAATATCCCTTTTTAAGATGTGAAGTCTTAGGGAAAAAAATTGCAATTTTATTTGAGTTATCACTGACAATGAAAATTAAATGTTTTCCTGGGTAGGCTAAAAATGTGGGGATTGTGATATTGATAAAGGATAATTTTAATGACTTATCATAAAAACATATTTGCCATGATTTCTGGCAGTAAGTAATGATAACTCTAACACTTACCAACACTGGGTTGATGTATCTTGGTAACCTGATCCTGACTACAACATCTTCCCCCATCTCAGCAGCTCTACAAGGAGCAATTTGAAAAATAATGATGTTTACTTGTTAGCATACGTATGTCAATCTTAAAATGTTCACTTTGATTGCTCATTTTCAATATTTCATATTTACATGTAAGCAAATTTAAACAACAGGGTCAGTCAATGTAATGCTGTCCTTTTCATAAAATTCTTGGACTGGGCTTATAATAATATGACAATATGTATACACTCCTTTCACTGACCTCCTGATTCCATCAAAGCTGACACTGACCATGTCCACCACGCCCCCAGCAGGTTTGGTCAGTAGACCCAGCAGACCTTTGCCAATGCCTTTGAAGAATCCCTCGACTCCATCTTCACTGACACCTACAGGTACATCAAAATTTACCAATGTCATTACTATTGATGAACAATTAATTTCCCATGCATGAATTCCACATTCTCATGATACACATGTAATTATTCCCTTTTAACACATATAGAAGCATCTGGCTAAACTTTGTCATATTTTTTTAAATTAAAGAGCAGGGGGAAAACAAAATGGAACCCATTTAATGAAAAATTAACCTGATATGGACATACTGGTCTAAGCTTTTTTGAATTGCATTTGGCCTGCCTTATAACTAAACCACACATATCATTTATAACCAACTTCCAATCAAACGGACAGATATTCAGATACCTTACCTTGTGCTGGACTGACCACCACGCCTGACAGTCCCAAAGCCACACCCATCACAAAAGACTTCCCAGCAAGCACCAGGCTGGCTGGTAAACTCTTGGGGTGCTGCTGCATTCTTTGTCGACGTTTCTGACAAAAAATTCAATTATGCTTTAAATTTATCTTAGTTTAGATCCACGTTTAGATTTGTCTTATTGTTAACTTAATTTGATATTAAAAAAAAAAAAAAGATTTAGAAATATATTTAAGTTTTTACACATGTGCAAGTGAGTAACATCTACATAGCACTCACCTTCTTATAATCTTCATCAAAACTGAGGAAAGCCAGAGCTCTGCCCAGAGAACCTGTCACCAAGGCTACTGAACCAGCTGCACCACCTAATACATACATTGGGAAGTAAAAGTATTTTGTATTTCATTTATGTTTTCCATCTTAGCATCTACTTATTTTTATCTACAAACAATGCAATTATTTTAAATTTACTAGAAATTATATTTTCATCTTTTAAGTTTTCATCTAGACTACTTGCTATCATCATTGGGTTTGGACCCTGTGAGGATTCAGTTGTGAACACAGATGTTGGAATTATGTCACAAATTTTGCCTTCCAACATTAATCTGATAAACAACTGGATTACTTATTTGAGTCCCAAAGGGCCCTGTGGATTTTAAAGAGAGGTTCTTACCCACAGTGTGTCCCATTAAACTCTCTATTCCTCTGACCAGGCCCTGTGTAAACTCCTCAGGTCCTTCTATGGAGCCCTGCAACATACAACAGGTATTTATGCAGTTGGAATCTCATATGTCAAACAATTTCAACCTGGAATACTATGATAAGCATTCATTCTTTTTAACTAGGCGAAGACTGGTTATATCTAACTAAAAGTTAAAAACTTAAGATCATGATACCTAGAACATCAAACTACATACTTAAACAAGTAGTAAGTTGACACCATTTTAACTTTTTGATACAAGACAGGATTTGGCAGGATTACTGAACATGCCTCTCAAGAACAACTTAATCACCATATCATCTTTAAAGATACATTAGCAGAATATAGAATGTCACTGAGCAGCACCTACCAAAAAAGGCTCATAAAAGAAATCTCCCAGTCCTTCCGTGAAGTCCTTGATCAGTCCATAGGGGTTCCCCAGTACATCCAGCCCCAGTATGAACACATACGCTTGCTGAATGGCCTGGGATTTATAGTGTGAGGATATCTCAGCACCAAGCTGGTTCCATGTAAGAGTAGCACCATTCAGTGTAAAATATGCCATTCTGCAATGAGGTTTCAAGTTTTACTTGATTGTTAATAAAAAAGAGGTCTATTAATTTAAAGGTTTTATTCTATCTTTGTAGCTTTAATTTTGTATGAATTTAAGTAAGATTTAATGTTATAATCTGTTGTCATTTTGATTAAAATTATACCTCTGTATAATAAGACTAATTTAATTAATCTGTAAATTACTACATGTACAAGTACAGAATACTCTTAACAATTGCTTGCCCTGGAAAATATGACAAATCCTATCTTCAATATACATTTCTAGGGTGATGTAATTATAAATTCATTTACTTGATTTCTACTTCTCGGATTTCTGTCAAAGTGACACCAACAGATTGGAAGAAGAAGCCAACTATGTCAGACGACACTTCTTGCAGGACACCCCTCTCTTCTTCACTTGGTGTCTTGTAAGCCTTCCCAGCCAGAGAGAAACTTATTCTCATCTAAAAGTTAAAAAATATGATTGAAAGCAACACACTAACTTCAGTACACTTTTATATTGTGGAAGGCAGAGCAAGTCCAATGTATCCAAAGTTGATATAGTAACACTGACTGTGAATATCATTACATCCACTCTTTCAACTAGAACATCTACATAAACCCCATCAGAAAGTTTTCATTTAGTGTTCTACAAAGGTATATCTCATTTAATGAATTCACTATTTTTATCAAAATATTAATTAGCCAGTCTTTTAATTAACTCTCTTTTAAAACTAGCAATTTACCTTCAAAGGAGACAGGTGTAAGTATTCAAATACAATGCGGTTCGGAGAACTGGATACTTGACTTTTAACTGTATCTTTGAGAGAAGCCTTTACAACATCTAAATCTTCTTGTAGTTGAACACTCTGAAATTAAACAATGTAGAAAGTTGTTTTTAAAACTAAATATTATACAGTTGAATTTATCCTTGTGCATTAATGTTAATGTCATCTAAAATTGCTACCTTCACATACATCTACAATATCTTGCCTTCACATCTTCTTTATACTTTTTTGCCACCTTAAAATTTATTTCAATATTGTATTTTGCTTACCTCCATTTTCTTCTCCCACACATTTGCCATGACATCATAGACAGACACTAGGAACCCTTTGTCTAATTTGATATTGAACTCCTGCATCAGCACCTTCAGTTTCCTACAGAAAACGTCAGAGTTTTACGGTAGTTATCATAGGGTTCAAATATTCTTTGGAATATGTACACAAATTAAAAGTAAACATATTTACTGCTAGTTCTATATAAACCAATCAATTAAACTAAAATTTGCTCACAGCATGGACAAAAGACACAAATATGAGTGAAACTGAAGACTACTGCTAAAGACCATTCAGCTAGCACAACATCTGACTGTTTAAGCTGACCCTTTCACCATAGCCCAACTCAAACACATCATCAAATACCATGTACATGTATCATGACATGCTATCAAAAATCTTCTCCCTACTCACTTGATACTGTCCACCCCATTTTCTGGCACAGTCCTCCTCATCACAGACAGCTCAATGAACGGCTTGGGTCCAGTTCTCTTCAACACATGCTGTGGCAGGGGAGACGGGTAGAACACAGAAGGGAAGTAAGCTTCAGGGAGCTGGTTGTCAATCTGGGAAATTAAAAGGAATAAAACTCGGGTTACTTACAAAGCAAAGATGAAACATTTTAGCAATGTTAATACCCAACTTATGATTTTTATAATTCATAAAATGAAATTACTGAGAGTATTTCAAATTTCTAAATTGCTTCTTTAAATTTATTTAAACTTAACGTTTTTGAAACTAAGAGTAATTCATATTTCTAAACTGCTACTTTATTTTTTTTTTAAATCTTCAGTCTCTTAACCTGTTTCACACACACACACACACACACACACACACACACACACACACACACACACACACACACACACACACACACACACACACACACACACACACACACACACACACAGGTGGAAGTGTATTACCTGCACCCTGTGTATCTTGGCATGTACATGCATGTGGTGCTGGGACTGTCTGTATATGAACCACAGTGCTGGTCTCCAAGTCCTTCTCAGGGCGCCAACATATGGCTTCTTCATACTCATCTCCTCTCCAATGTCAGCCTAATGATCAAATAACAGCAATGTACAACACCATTTGCTTGACCTGAGATGTAGTGGAAATGAGTGCATGATCTGTCTTGACCTCACAGATTATAAAGTAAAAAGATTGCAAAAAGACACTGTCCCACCTACTGCTTAATATTGAATATTCTCTGCTTGATATAAACTAATAAAAACAGCTCATTTTCATCTGTAAATATCATCTATTAAATATTGCAATAATCCTGCTGTACCTCCACAAAGTCTTCTAGACTGACAGTATTTTCTCCACTGAAATATTTATCCTCTAACCATGTGGCTAGCTCCACATTAAGAGCCTTCCACTTCCCATTCACCTCCACCTCCCAAATGGTTGGAGCAGACGACAGACTGACAAAAGCAACCTCCAAATACTGCCTGTAAAAATAAGAAAACAATTCCGTTTTTATATTATATGTAAGATTAACTTTTACATTTAAATGATATATTTAGGAAAAAAGCCAATTTTGTCTTTTAAAAGAAAACTTAAACATGATTGATGAAATGAAATATAGGTTTTTAAAAACTTACTTATTGATCAGGGACAATCCTACGCCATCTAAGGACAAGAAGAAAGCTAATGATGCCTGTTCTGCCTCATTGGCCTGTAAAAAAAATTCAAAATAAAACTTTTACCTAATTTTCTTATTTGTGACAGTAACTTTGTTGAGATTCTTCATACTTTAAAAAATCACATGTAGTGATTCAAAATTGAAAATCCTAAATCAAACATGTAACAGTAAAAAAAAAGACAGGCATAATCATATGCCATTGACTACAACTTATAGAACATTAAAATTGTTGTTATTTTTACAAACCCACACTAGCAAAATCTCAAAGATTTTCACTAATGCAAATCACTTATCTTGGTTTCAAGGCAGGAAGGCAAATTCTAAAAAAAACTTCTTACATCATGCTAGTTGGTAGGGCAATAAAAACTGGTTTATTGCCAAGCCAATCAAACACACTGGAACTCTCAAAATTGAGGCAAATGCAAAGTACAGACTGTTGACTAGTAAGCATCTCTTGGTTTTAAAAAGGCAATAGACTTAAATTTCACATACAAATAAGTTGAAAGGGTTGGCATGCCGTGGAATTGTTGTGGACTTTGAGGCAAATTATATTGGTAAACTCTGACAGTAACTTTTAATACACTGCACTGTATGTACATATTTAACAGGTGGACATTAGGGAAGGCATGAAGCACAGCATATTTTTTTTACCTCCTGTATTGGACGCAGAATTTTGTGAACCTGGTTTATTTAAGAAGTAAAACTGTGAAAGTGCTCTAATACAACATATAAATGTGGAAAATTATATGTGAACTGTTGAAAACTAGACAAAAGGATCAACAACCAAAAAGAAAAAAGGCACTGAAGTTTAATTAACAAAAAAAAAGCATAATTAATCAGGATGCTGGAATAGATGCTAACATTTCAGGAAAGAAACTAAATTTGTGTTTTCCATGAATATCTCACCTTCCTAGCTTTCTTGGCAATCCTCTCATCCTGAGTGAAGAGCAGCACCCTCTGTAGGCCATCCAGGTAGGACACCCAGAACATGGCCACTTTGTCTGTGCGTGTTCTATGAATTAGGGGGAAATCAACATCATCCAGCTCGGTATCATCTGCAAGACAGCAAATTTGATGAGTCTTTAGACATCTTTTAATAGATACTGATGTTAGTTAAAACTAAATACAGAATGTTTCTATATGACTGAATATATATTAATCTTTTTGCTCTTATACATGTACATGTAATATTTACTTGATTTCAAATCAGCATTTAGTATTTTTTTTTTACAATATTTCAAAGTTCCACTGTCTCGTTTTTCTCCATAGCAAAACACTCAGTTTGTTTCCCTACAGCAGACTACACCTGGTGAAGTTATTTGTACCTTCTGGGCTGCTGCTGTCCACTGCATCTCCAGAAGCCCCATTGTGTCCCTCACTGCTGTTCCTCACCGTCTGGACATCAAGTTTGACCTCTCCATAACCATCCTGGTAATACCATCAAGTACAAATGTTGAAATGAAAACTAACAAGTCTATTTCTACAAGGCATGAAAAGTATCTTTAACTGTACTTGCTATGTCATTATTAAATTGAACCTTTAAAGTCAAATAAATTTGAGAAAAAAAATTTCACAAAATTTACTTTGTTTTGAATATTTTAAGATCTGAGTCTGTTACACACTGTGGTAATTATGGCCTCATATCCACTCCTCTTCCTATTATACAGATTCCACTGAAGAATTCTGGGAGCTGTGGGGTCGTCCCAAGTGTAAAGCATGGACTGGTTGGCAGACAACAGTAGAACCTGGCTCTGGTCCCTAAAAAGACATTCTTACTGTACACAAAGACAACGTTTATTAAGACATGACATCACTATATTATAGTTTAACAGTGGCATATGACAACCATTCAACATACTGACATACTGGCAGTAAGGATACTACTGTACTTGTACTTCATTAACTTCAATCATAAGTACAGTAAAGTAATTGTATTACTAATTACAATAAAAAAAGAAAGGGATTATACAAAATACACAACACAAAACACAATCACAGACTGACAGAGAGATGGTTTACTTTTGGTGAATCTTGAGGAAGACATCCTCACAGAGGTTTTCTATTCTGACTGGTGCATCTCCTGGTCTGTAATCCTGGAATGTTACTGTTTTGGGGGTTTCTGTGCCACCAGATACCCCCACTGTGAGGGCAGTCTGGAAGAAAAACAAGAATTCATGCCACTTCTCACATCTCACAGAACTTAACTGCTGCAATTAAGATAATGTAACTGTATCTGGCACGTCACTGACATTATGATGCCAAATGTTTTTCTTTTCATTTTACAAACTGTCTACTTGTCTAAACTGAAATATGATATTTTCACTTAAAAAAAGAACCAAGCCTCTCCCTTTACCCCTTTGCTCATCCTGAGTACAGTTGTGCATGTCTGCTTGATACTGAAGTAGAAGGAAGACACATTGCTGTCAAGGTACTTCACTGTCAGCTTCATACTTTCTGTTTTTGGCCAGAAGGCATGGCACTTGAAAAGGAAGACAAATACATGATAATTGCTTTTTTTTTTTTTTGGCATCTATAGGAATTCTTTTTTTACAAGACTTTACATAGGGTATGTTAAAATATTGTTTAGCATCAAATTATTCTCATGAAACGTCTAAGTAGTCACCAACTTCTAAAATTATCATTAACTGCTGACAAGGTGTCCCATTGTGTTACAACATGGTCTTCAAATATATCAACAATACTCACGTCTCCTGATGCAGCCTCTATCCACTCATCTTCTCCGCTGGTTTGTTCCCTGTACTTCAGCGCCATCTGGGTGCTGTTCACCACCATGAAGTATGGGGTCAAGGTCACAATCTTGGTCAACTTTAACTGTGACAGGCTAATCTGGAGCATAAACTGCAAGAGAAGACATACAGTGAAAATCAGTTAACAATAATTCATGGTGATATTTCTTATAGAGTTCATGTGTGTGTGTGTGTGTGTGTGTGTGTGTGTGTGTGTGTGTGTGTGTGTGTGTGTGTGTGTGTGTGTGTGTGCACGTGCGCGCACGGGTGGGTGCACACGTACACACATTAGCACTTGCAAACACCTTTAAAATGAGTATAACCATCAGGGGTCGTATGTAGGTTTTCATACCTGATATTTTCTCTTTGTTTCTGGGTCATTACAAATGACTACTCCACAGCTGCCAACAGTGTCCAGACTAAATGAGGATGACCACTTGGAATTGTAAATTCGCATCCGGACCTGCAACACGGCAAACAACCCTGTTACAACAGTAACATACTAATTTATACAATCAATTAGTTATATTCTGCTGATCCTAAACAATTAGTAAAATTAGGAAAAGTTCTATGCAATTTATATAAGGATCTCACCTTCTGTCTCTTGTATTTCTTGTACAAGAAAAGGATGGGATCCACACTGACATCATTCTCAAACACTGCATCTGATCCAGAACCCTGTAAGATATTTTTCTTAAAACTCAACATGTTATTTATGAAAACTATGCATGAATTAAGAAACATAATTAATAGCAGAGAAAATATTACAAACAAACATATTGTTTTTTCTGTATATTATTATGTAATGAAAATAAAGTAGTGCACATATCTTGATCACAGCATATACTGAGTAGTTAAATACTATTACCAATCATTTGGATGTATTGATTTCCTTGGAAGTTAGATTTTAAAACTGTTCAAGTCCATTTGGTGCTGGCATAATTAAAATCAGTCTTAATAAACAAGTGTCAAACAACTTATATTGTGTTTCCAATGCATCTCTTTAATGGTATCTTGTATTACTGGGCATGAAGGAGATATAAAAGTATGTACCCTGAACTGCACTGGCAACCCTGTCTTGTTGATAATCCAGTAGGGAGAATGCACAATCAGATCTATGTTGTTGATTTTGTTGGTGAAGACATTGAGAGCAAGCTGCTTGGGTTCTGCATCTACTGTTTTCACATCTGTCTCCATGGGAACTAACAAGCTGGTCTTAGATTGGCTGAAAGTGTCTTTTGATATGTTCAAGCTGCCATTCCACTCTACACCCTGATAGTCTGGGAGCTGAAATTCAATGAGTAATAATATGTTTAATTAGGAATGGATACCCAGGATTATGAAATATTAACAAGCAATACATAATAAGGGTTTGTTTTCTTTTTTTCCCCGAAGACACAGCTAATGTGTTTATCAATAATATCATGGTATTTGAACATTAATTAATGCACAAAAATGTAACAGTATAGAATCTGATCCTCTCCGTGCCTTACCTGTATCTTGAGCTTGTGAGTCACCTGCATATCTACAGTGTTCACAGGTTGAGTCTCCCCTGGGGCCACACTGGTCAACTGCTCACTCTGAAACAAAACACAGGGTATATGAAATAGGCCACAAGATTTTTTTTAAATTCCAGTCTACTTTAAATGACTGTTAGCAAAATACAAACACACCAAAATGTATTATACATGTTCATGTTAAGTCATGTACGTGTGCTACATAGTATATACAGTATTTATCTACAATACAATTATTATTTATTCTGATTTGCTCTGTCCAGCAGCATTCACCCACCTCTCCCACAGAGTAAGTCATCTGATATGGCAGGTAGTTGTGGATCACCAGTGGAGAGTCAAGATGGAAAGTGTACAGAGGCACAGAGTTCACCAAGGCTTCATCTTGAATCTCTGGACCACAGGGCTTGCAGGTGATCTGAAACCAAGCCAGACAATTGTTAGATCTGAGATCAATTATAGTGGCAAAATCAGCAGTGTGCCACCTCTTCTGAAATCCTATGATGAATACCCAATCCAATATGATACACTGCTAAATACAGTCTTAAACATATTCACTGTATGTCAAATCAAATCATTATAATATGACACACACTTCCTAACATGACACATATACATCTACATTCATATAAACAAGATGTAATAAATGTTAAAATGTTATTATCTATACAATTTTCTAGATTTGATGATTAATACCTTAATATAGAAAGCCTCTTCATTCCCTTCTTTAGCTAAACAAGACAGGTATTTTGTGCCCATTTTCTCATTTGAAGTGAAGTCTTTCCACCACAGCTCACTGTAGGATCTTTGGAAGCTTTAATATAATTAGATATTTGATGATCAATATACCATTTGTGGACCTAGAAATTAATCTAAAAATTGTAGCACCTGAAAATGACACTGCCCTGCTTTTAAAAAAACTTAATTGTCAATCACATCCTAACATTTTATGAACAACTTGTAATACTTCTTACGGCAACAAAGGGTAAGAAAACTTTTGAAAATTGATCTTTTCTGGTTAAATAAATAAATATCATAATACACACAATTTATCATGTGATACCCATACTTACTTTGAGGCTGCAGGCTGTACAGCTAGTTTACAGTGGTATGCAACATACAATGGCACAAAGTATTCTGCATCAGGAGCTACCTCAGCTAGCTTGGTATACTCTTGGTCACTAGGTGTCACTCCAGTCACGCTGTGTGTCTTCAGATCCTCCGTCTTGCACAAGATGTCTACTGCCACTGACATGTGGTTCCACAGCTGTGGGTAGGGATTAATGGGAAACAGATGAACATGACATTTCCCTGATGCTATTTCATACAATTGTCATTAAACACATTTTAATCTGTGATTTATTCTTTTTAATAAGTCCATAAAAAATTACTTGCAACTTACTTCAAAATAGTAAATATATAATGAAAAATTGGAATTTTGAAACTGACAAATTGTCAAAATGAGGTGTTCCTACCTTGAGGGGAGATTGTAATATAACCTCCTTTCTTCCATAGTTGACATTCACGTTGTAGACTGCACAGTACACAGTGTTGCACTACAAAGCAAGAATGTTATCTGGTAATTCCATGTACACCTAATAGATATACAATTATATTCAAGTTGCTTTGCTAACAAATGGCATAGTACTTTATTGCATGTTGTAAAGAAATTAATTGCAAAAAAATGCATTCTCATAAAAACAGTAACAGTTATTTTCAGTATGTGTATTTCTACATACACTTAAATACTTTATATATATACCCAGTATCTATATAATTTCATTGAACTACCATACCTTGGCAGGCTTAAGTTTCAGCAGTTTCAAGGTGTCTCTTCTGTGAGAGAGATTATATAAATTATCAAATCCCTCCAGCTGTAAAAAATGAAATGGCACATTTGTAAATTTCAATTTTGTTAAACCAAAACAACAAATACATGTATTCTGATATAATTATTAGAATTTATTGTTATTTCTTGGAAAAATGAAATCAACGTGAATTAGCATCTGTTTAGAAGTTAATGAAAGACTGTACAACAATCTATAGGCAGTCACCTTGACATGAAGCTCATCCTGGCTCAGTTCCAGATAAATAGGCTCATCCTCCTCACTTCCCTGAGGAATAAGTGGCAGTCCTCGACTAGTTACGCCTGCAGCCGCCATGTTGGCTGTCTTAGCTAGAGCATTAGCCAGGAAACTAAGACCATCAACATCATCAAAGTCTTCATCATCCTCATCATCCCTAAGACAAAATTAACTTTTTTCATATTTTGAAGATACACGTAAGTGGACGATATTGAAACTTACATAACAGTGCACCTACATGTAGCTAGCCCAACGTCTCTTTTTAAAATGAAAATTACAGTGTACATGTCACTTGCTGAAGAAACTACACAGAGGCAATTAATCGCCTTTAGTGAGAGGCGTGAAATGACCAAATGTGAAAAAGTGAAATTGTTAAATATTTAACTTAATTAAGTACATTTAAAGACTTTAACTAACACTTAAATGGCTGTTACATGCCAGTACATACATTTCATGTTCTTCTATCCATTCACTTTCATCAACATCTACTGCTTCTTTTGTTGTCTTCACAGAGCAACCATGAGCTGCACTGCTGCGGATCTAAAATTAATAATATTCTAACTACTGTTTGTTTTTACCCAGTTTACTGATTATATTCAGATGAAATGTTCCTAAACAATATTTAATAGTATAATCCTTACAACATTGAGAAATTGAAATTACGTATACTATTCTTGATCAGTACCAGTATTTCAATCCAACTTGTCTTATTGGTAGCAGAAGATAAAGTTATCAGTCCTAATTATAAAAATTATAAAATCAATCAAAACTGTTCCTGTACCTTTACTTTCTCACTAACAGTCACTTCCACTGGCAGACCCAGATGGTTGTACACTTCAAAACTTGGCTTCTTCTCTGCTGATCTCAACAAGGTTTGTTCTTCCTTCATAAATGCCTAGAAAATATTTTAATATGTACTGTTACAGTAGCCAAAGAACTAAAAAAAAAAGACTGCAAAACTTTTCTTGTTAGAGACTGGAGATACATACCTATCCAAAGTCACGTTAGTAAATTTAATCTGGAATATTTTAGACTTTTATCAGCCTGAACCTAACATGGATTTCCAGAAGTAACACTTAAAACTTCTACTTTATATTCTAATTATTGTTTAAATTGCATTTCAATTTATATTAGATCTAATCTTCAGATAATAATTATGTACTATATCACTAGTTATAAAACATTGCCCAGCATCAAAAGAGCTCAATACTGTAATGTATAAAAACAAGCTGTCATTACCCCAGCAACATCCTTGATTACATTCATAGCAACTGGTGTTAGATTGAGCAGAAGTTTATCTTTTGAGTTGACGACCATGTATGTACACAAGTTCTCTTCTTCCTCCTCTCCACCTCCTGCATAATCTACCTCATCAAACGTGGTATTCTCTGAAAAAGGCAGTATTTAGATGATATAAAAATTTATTACAAATATTCCATGTGTAAATATGAATTCCACAGGTTACTCAACATATTACCAAGAACTGCAAGACTGAAAAGTATTTGTCATCTCTCTTACACAATGGACACTTAGTGATATATATGAGTTCCTACAACATTTTTTTTCAAATTTTCATTCCTTCATCAAGTTATTAATTGGTAAAAATAGTTGCAAATTTGAACTGCAACCAAAAAACTAAACACTAAATTATGAAACAAAACTGGGTGATATTTTATATTTATTACAAGTGAAATATACAAGTTTCAGAGCTGACTGGCAAACTTTTATGACTTTAAAAATTTCTAGTTGTTCAATCCATTTTAATTTATGAAGTAGGAATTTCTATTGGTATCAATATTTAGCGATGTTCTTATCTTTATCATTTAGTAATTTTATCTGAATGAACTTCAAAATTTGATCAGTGTACACAATTTGAACTAACAAACTAGCATGCAAAATATATTACAATTATTTTCTGAAAAGGTGACTTACTTCACAAGTAGTAGCATGAGCGAATTATAAATGATAATAAAAAATACTGTACAGTAACTAAATGACAATAAAAATATAACAGATAAAATTTGCATTTGTAAGAGTCACTTTTTAAGCATAATAAAATAACAAAGACGTGCATAATAAAATAACAGAGAACACATAATAAGAATAATCACATGAAAAAACTATCATGCAGTCTCAATAGTGACAGTAGAAGAAAACAGAACTATAAAAATGTGATAATTCTTGAGGCATCTGAAAACAAAAGGCAGTGAAGATGATGCATCAACAACAACAAAACTAGCATAGCTAAACTAACATCCAAACAACACTGCCGAGTCCTAAATACCAGAGTTAAAAGAGATAGGGCCTTTGGAGGTGATGAAAACAGGATTGTGGTAGGTTGGTCCAAACACATCATCTTCCTCTTCTTCCTCAATGTCACTGACATCAGCATCACTATCACTGCTGGTAAAGATACCGCCCAGCTTAGCTGCTATGGTGTGCAGGAAGCTGTCAGACTCAGAAGTATCTGTGCTGCCATTTACTCTCTCTTTTGTGGCCTTTTCTTGGGTTGGTGGTTTTTCTGATGCATTAGAAACACCAGAGAGAGCAAAGGTAATGAAGAGTTAAAAGCTGACCTAGAGCAGTTTAATGAAAATATTTAACAATGACTTTTTTTTGCTATTTAGCCAGGCATCTTATACTGGTGACACTACATCTAGCACCCTTCACCTATGATGTCCTAAGCCAACCTTCACCTCAATAACCTCAAACCCCGACCAAGGAGTTTTAACAATATTGTTAGAGCTCCTTGCCCAGACCATGCTCATCAATATACACTGTTTGCAACTGGTTTCAATAAAGACTCTATAGCTACAAGAAATAGATTCCTCTTACTTATCCTGCCTTATACAATCACACAGAAATCCATCTTTGGAGGTAGATAGCACATCCAGCCAAAAGTAGTTAGTATGGATAAAAATAAGTTTAATACAATGGTGCATTATTACAGTAAAATGTAAGTTGTTTTATAATGTACATAATGTTTCATATATACAGTTGATTCTTACAAAAAATTTTTTACTGAAAAAGTTATCAATACCTGGTTGTGCCTTCTCACTATCTGTCCTTGACCTTCTACTGGGCACTCGTGGCCGTATCACCCTCATGTCTGTCTCTGTGTCATTCTCCTCGGATTCTGAGCTGTCTGACACAGGCTTACTTCTGCATACCAAGTGGCTCATCTCTCCATCCACAGACTCCCCCCAGTTGGCAGAGTTCTCATCATAGTTACATGAAATAGGGTGTGACTTGGCCCTAATCAGCTGTGGAAGAAAGAGGAAAGAACTGAGTGTTAAAACGCATTTATTTGATGGTTTTTGGTTTATGATTAATTATAATTACTGTACATGTGCTCAGCATTAAGCAATAGGTGCAGGTAATCCTGTGAGGGTAATAAGCTTCCAATCTCAGGAAAGGTGGCTGATTCTGTTGTTAGCATAAAAGTTTAAGCAGCAATTATGTATCTAAATAATAATAATAATAATTAAGAATCATTGTACCATTGTTAAGTGCATCTTAGCCAATAAATTTTTAATTTTTTTTTAATCTATGGCACTGAATTTTTGGTGACAATTGATATTATTGGCAAATTTCTTATGAGCCCATCACTCACTACTTGAGCCTAAAATGCCATTAAAAAGCACAAACTCTCTTCAATATTTGTATAATAGGCCATACTGATTTCAGATAATCACATTTATAATTACAAATCCACTAAAAATGAACGTGTGGAAAATTTTGTTCAAAATGACACTGTAGCATGCACATTATCCTCCAGTAGTTTATCTGGAATTAGTGTTGTGTCATGCTCAGTTATATACAGACACGAATATGATCAAACATGTTCACACAAAACCACACACCAGACTAGCAGAGTAAAACTAAGGTAGTAGGACATGCATATGTACTGGCTGAAACACATCAAATTCATGGTGCACTACATTTGACATAAATGTCTAAAAATAAAATTACTACTCTATACTATGAGGATTATAAAACAACAAATAGCTGTACTTAAAATAAAAAAATGCAATTGCATAAATTTATAAATAAATAAAAATTAACAAATGCACCAGTAAATGAATCCAGGGATTGAATGTTACTTGGAAATTACATCTGACACCAAAGCAGGCTGGTCGTGACATTTGGTGTTAGATCAAAGCTGCAGACATATCCAATTCTTTTTCTTCTATTTTTTTTTTTCAGTGTTAGCAAATTTAAACAGGGATTACATGTACTTATGCCTTGCTGGATTATAGTGCAACAGCCATCAGGGTAACCCTACTGCATTTTGCCACGGTTTTGGTTAACAAGAGAAGGAAGCCACATATAACTAAATCTGCACCTAGCTGGCGGTGGCCCAGCTACTAGTACATGTGTCTCCTCCCAGTACCTGATTTATAAAAGATCGTTCTAGCTCATCCTCAACATCACAAGCTATTGGATGACCTCTGGCTGCTACAAGCTGATAAAATAATCACAGTTTTTTTAACAGCAATTCAAACTAAATGCAATTTGCTCAGCGAAAACAGCTTATATGCTATAACGACTTCATCTCAGGAAGCATGGCAGAACTTAATTTACTGCTTGGATCCATGATCCACTGTTTGTTGGCATTATCGTGAAGCATGCCAAAATTTCCTAATTAGGCTATCCAGTGTATCATATACATGTATGACATTGTAACATTTCCTTAAAATTGTTCATAGTGCAATACTTCACAGCCACACCCAAGTGTTACAGAACTGAAATAAACCATGCTCTACATAATAAAATATTACCTAATTATACACTATTTTTGGAAAAAAAGAATACAACAAAGAATACATTTACATCATTTAGACAGAGACACAGATATACACAAGTTGACATAAAAGTAAACTATACAGAGAGTGGAGATATACCTTAATGAGGACTTCCCAAGGCCTGTAGACATTCTCTTGCTCCATGACAGGTTCAATGAGAGGTTCCCAGGTGTCCAACTTGTCACTGTAGTAAGCCATGTCTAGGTGACACTCAGCTGACAGTCTCAGCTACAGTGATGTAAGAAAATTATTAAAATCTTCTATTGCTAGCTATTTTTATTTAATGTGAATGTAACACTGTGTTTGAATTTACTTAGTACAGTACTAGTACAAGATTAGTCTGATCAATCACTATTTTGTGATGTCATTTATACTGTTATCCACCATGCTGGAAAATGGAACACCATGCTTACTTATTATTTTCAAGCAAAATTTTGGCTCCACATAGGTTTTTTTGCATCAATTACACCATAACTCTACTAGTATTTATTTATCACAGAAGCATCAACTCACCACCCCTTCACTAACCTGCTTAGACCAGTCAAAGACCTCAGCCTCCAGTTTAGTTCTCAGACACAGCATGGGGACATGTGTGTCCAGATTCTCTGCCTCAAACATCACCCTCACGTCCTTTATGTCTATCTTCAGGCTCTCTACGGGAGGGGCTTTAGAGGGGATTGGAAAAGATACCGTGCCTTGCATCTCTGGAGTGTAAAACCATTTTCTGTTGTGATGTACTAACAATACAGACTCAATAAAGTCAATGACTTACAACTCATAAAAAAGGAGACACTGCACTTTTTAAAAACTATTGTTGAAAATTGAATATTTAACCAGGGAAGGTAGTGCCCCAAAGGAAAGAAATTATTATACAAGAAGACACAAGTGAGATTTGACATTGTATTACCAAGTAGTATTGAACCCATACCTTCATCCTGTAGCCACTTATCTTGTGTAATACTCTTCACCCTCCAGATGTCCCCCTGGGATGCTATGAGGGAGGTATCTTCAGTGCTTTCTTCATCCTATAAACCATGAAAATAAGTTTTTTAAGATGTACTGACAATTATCTATAATTCATAGGTTCCCTTTGAGTTAATGTTTACAGAGCATTTTAACTCTCACACAGTTTTTTTTTCATTTATGTTGTTCAGCAAATTATTTCTGAATCAGCATTAACAGCCTAACACTTTGAGCAAAAAAAAAGGGGAAAACATATTTGAGATCTTATGAATTTAAAACTTCATATTCACACCTTTTTCTCCTTATTTATCATATCAATGACATCCAGTAGTATGTGCACAGTGCTGGCACACAGATGTAAGTCCACTGTGGTCATAATGGCAGACATGTCAACTGCACCATCTTCACCAACCTTCCTCAAAAACTCCATATTGCAGGGATGTAGTACCTAAATTTAAGTATGTTAAAAGTTTTATTTAAATGAAAATTATGATGAAATTCAATGACTTGATTACGGTTTGACATGAAATTTATATAAATGAAATAATCTTGAAAAGAAAAGAAAACAAATTATGATTGATATCCGATCAGCATACACAAGTTGAAACAACCCAATGAACATGCAAAAATAAAAATAAAAAAAATCTCACCCTGTATTTGGCCCCTTTTTTCTGTCCATACACACAGCACACAATCTGAATATTTGAAGCAGCAGCAGACATTTCATTGTGGTCAACATCTGCATCATAATTCAGGGATATGTCAGTCTGAAAACCCAAGGATGTAGAGCATCTAAACAGGGCAATTAGAGTGACAATTAAGTACATAATTAGAGAACAGTACTCTTTAAATCAAGCAGTTTCAAATAAAAATTTTATATCTAATGGCCACGGAAAATACAAATATATACCTTTAAGAACAGCACTTTGCTGCAGGCATCTTGAGGACTGGCAAAGAGGACCACCTCCGGCTCTTTCACCCTCCCCCTGACTGTTAACTTGGACTTCCTCTGAGTCTCTGACACCTGTGGCTGTGGTACAGATATAGACATACTGCGTTTATATCTGTCATTACTGGCCAGACTGGAGTCACGCCTTGTTTGAGGCTCCTGTACTTTCAGTGCGGCAATGATAAAGTTGATCACAGTCAGGTAGTAGGGCATGCTGACATTAAGGCGGATTCTCTCCACTGTCATTTCAACTGAAAAAGAAAGATGCAATCTCATTTTTCACCACCCTCAACAGTGCATTGTTTATATTATCATTTGTACTTATAGTTCTGCACTTACCATGCTGATTGCCCTCAGAATCTTGCTTGTATATAAAATCCACCATGGGTACTGTGCTGTCTTTGGCATTCTCTACAGTCTTCTTGACTTTCCACAAAGGTAAAAACATCCTTCAAATAAAAAACAATGTATGCAGACAACTACTTCACATACCATAAGTAAATAACTCAAATATACATTATGCAATACTGAAATCTATACTACACATATGTGCATTAATTGCATGATACATTATTTCATCTTTTTGTCACAATTACATTCAGCCACTAGAAACAGAAAAAGAATTAAATGATATCATGCATTTTGTTGCTCATTTTAAATTGGTTTAGCAGGTCAACTGAAACTGAAATAGAAAACATGACATGCATTATTATAACAATTAAGGCAACAAAACTGTCAAATGTACAGACAACAAGAAAAAAAAATAATCCAATCAAGCTGGTTTGCCAATTTGAGCTGTACGTCATTCTTGTAAGTTACAAAATAATAAGTAACAGTTTTCCTTTTGGAGCATTTGTAGTGGTAATACACAAAATAGTTTTTTTTATTAATTTTGTTGCAATATTACATAATGCTTAACAGCATAATCACCATAAAATTTAAATTATGCACTCCAGGTAACACAGATATTTAGAAAATGTGACTAGCAAAGGTCCATGGAAATTCAAATTCACACTGTAAAATGCCAATATGTTTACAAGATAACTCTACTGAATGATGGACACAGGTGATGGCTATATGTACAAATATGATGTGTCTGTACATAAAAAACACCCTACCTTTTCACAGCTAGGTTACTCTCCTTTCTGGTGTCATCAAGAGAGACTTCCTGAAGTGTCACCTGGACATCAATGGCTTTGTCAGAGTAGATGGCCACTGTACCATTCAACTTGCCTACCTCAAATCTGGACAAGGAATTACAGTCATTCCCTCCTGTCGGTAAGCCATGCTAAAACAAACAAAACATTTGGGATTCAATTTGATGAAAGTCAGATGTATATTAAGTATAAAAACTAATTTTATCTTACTATAAAATTAGAGTAAGATATATATGGATTATAATTTTTGACTGCTTACTCATACAGAAAACATCAGTTTCATCAGTTTAGTTCTCAACCAACCCATTATGACCAGAGTAAAATATTATGCAGTAACTTTCACACAAAACAACTCATTATAAAAAAAACTTACTCTTATTTCTTCATCCTCGTTAAGCAGCGTCAGCACCGTTCCCTCAAAAACCACATTGGCACTGATCTCCTTCTTCACAGTGTCACTGTTCCCTGTGACATCAGGCCCCTCATCCTCCATCACAGTGTCCCCACTAATGATGTCCAGCTCTGGGGATGTGGGCTTGGGTTCCACCACATCGCTGCGAGTGACTTTCTTCTCGCCAATGTTTTTGTACAAGATGCCTATTGCTAGCTTCATGTCTTGCTGGCTGACATTGACCTTGAAAAGATTTGTGGTTGATAGTAAGATCAAGTTCAAGAGGAATTTTGGAAGCTTTCTCCTATCTTACAAATTCGTCCCTTTTTTTTTTCTACAGCGGCAAAAGTCATAAAAAAGAAAAGGATGCAAATGTTCATTCATGAGTGCATGCAACAATATAAATTAATCACATTGGAGCTCAACATTCAATTTTATAATCAAATGCGTCCAAAGGAAAATTTCCAAATGTTTTAAAATTTTTGATACATGTACATTTATCTATTATTAATCTTTATAAATGGCCATTCATATTGTACATATCACTTTTTCTGTGATGTATTTTCTTACAATAAAATTATTTACCTTGATCACTCCCATCTTCCCACTGAACTCATTGATGGTGTCCACTTTGATAGGCACAACAGCCTTCTTATAGTACACTGTCATACTGATAGGTTCCACTACAAGATGCTGGAGCTCCACTGTGCTGTCTGGTTTCAGCCAGCCTCTGAAAATGAGACAGTCTCATAAAAAGCAGTAAACAAATATCATAATCTGACTTTGGGTGCTGCCTGTATGAGCTTCAAAACAACTTACAGCACAACAAAAAATCTTTCAAGTATCTCTGTATGCATGATATATTTTCTGGAAACATATGCTAAGATACTTGGGCAGATCATGCATAAAGGTTCTGAAGCTTCATGTGCTTACAAATTTTTCTTTTATAGATCTTCTTATACAATTTTGTTCTCTCTTTTCACAATGTCACATATTTTACCTATCAATCTGCACAGAGGTAAGATCCACATATATGCTGTCAAACACTTGGGTCTCCCCACCATCTAACGAGGTCTCCATGTAGCTGTTAGACAATTTCAAATCTCCCAGTTTGGCTACAAACAGCTGCTGGGACTTGGAGCTCTCTGGCACCCAGACTGTGGGGGCCTTGATATCAAACCTCAGGGAGATTCTCTTCCCTTTCTCAGTGAAGTCTTGATACTGTGTCTCTATGGCACCCCGGGTAGCTTCTAGAGCTGCATCTGTAGCCTCTGGGTTTAGGAAAGGATCCATAAAGCCCTGGAAAAATAGTTTCGGCATGTTTGAATTCAAAGTATGTTGCCAAAAGAATTGAAATATCAAAACAGATACAAAAATTACAAAAGATCGATCATGTTTAAACAGCTTTAAAATAACTATAATAAAATAACTATAATCAAAACAATGAAACTGTTTCAGATTATGACAGAACTTTTGATGAAAATCAGACTTTTAAATATGTATGGAACACAATAAATAAACTTTAAATTGCCTTTAATGCAAGGCCAATATAGTAGGAAATAGAAGATACTCAATGGATACCAACTTACCCACAATTCTACTACAAACTTGTAGAGGAAGACCACATGCACCTCCCCTATCTTCAGCTGGACACCAATGTCTATGTCAGATGGTTTACTCTGTGTATTATATAATGTCACCTGAAAGTTAAAACAAATATGTAAATGTATACGTTAGCCTGTTCCATATGCTAGTGAGAGTGCAACATATATCGACATACAGCTATAACCATCAGGTCTATGGACACTTCCATTTGAAGGCTTTGTGTACGTTGCAGTGATATGCAAGTTCCTTTAATCCTCACTCCTTTTTTGGCATTTGATAATTTGAACACTTACCTTAAAATCAAACACCTCGTCTTTCTCAAATGTCAGTATCTGAAACAGTAAGAGTACTTTTAACTCATTTTTTTACCCAAATACCAGTTTAAAACAATGTTCCCCAATATGCCAAAAATATGTCATTAATTTTTAATAGATCTCCTTTTTTCCTTCAATATGGCAATCTTTTAGTGTTCAACAGTTTACAATATTGTACTCACCCTAGGGTACATGGTGGTGAGAGTTTTGTCATCTAAAGTCAAATTTTGCAGTTTTCCACCAAGGACTGTGCGACTTCTTTTCAAAACAATTTTACTTTCCAGACCTACAATTTATAAATTAAAGATTTTTCACTACATAGAAATGTTTCCTGAAAAAAATAAAACTATAAACAAATATAGAAATATCCCATAACATTCATATGTCATCACACAAAACAAATAAGCTATATCACATGTTAACTAAATCTTAATAAATGTATTCACCATGTCAACAGTACAAAACAACACTTAGTCTGTTGCTAATATCACAAAAATAATAACTGCTACGTTACCCCATGCTTACCTTTGATGTGTAAATCAGCCAGTTCTCCATCATTGCTGCACATATTGATGGTCAGATCATCAAATAGTCCTGCTATGAACAAACTGGTACTGCCTGCTGGCAGGGCGGGTTCTGATAAAATATATAACACTATAATAATAGATGAATTTCCAAAGGCAATTGTCAATATATTGTAACTCACTGGGTGACAATCTAAACCAGCCTTTCATAGTTTCCCTAAATTTAATCAGACCTTTATGACTTCAACTTCCACATAAACATCCTGTCTCTCTTTTTCACTTTTCATCAATATTTCAAATATATCATAAGAAATTAGTTGATATAAGGCAGGAGGAAAAGCGATTTTATAAAATGTGAATATTTGAACTGTACCAGTAGTACATATTACCTTCTTTTTTAGACTCTTTTGACTCTGCTACCTTAAAGGCATCAGTCACTGTTGGAGCTGAAGGAGATGACAGGGCAGAGTAAGTACTGGACTTCATGTCCACACTGGCCAGACTGGTCAGCAAGGCTTGAGTGAAGTTATACAGGTAGTAGCAGGCCTCACGCTCAAACACTATATTCAGCACTGTCATGTGCACCACAACTCCTCTGTGTATACTTCTATAGATGGCATCAAACTCTGGGCATTCTGGAGACACCTGAAGATCAGTGGAGAGTTTAAAAGATTTTCCTATAACATAAAAGGGCAACAAACCCGTGTGAAATATTTGTTTTATAAAAAGAAAATCAATTCAACTGTTAAAAATTTACAAGTACGTAAGATCATTTACCCTGAAAAATAAAGCACATCTTTCAAATAATTACCAACATCAATAAAAATGCAATTAAAATGTTTTGTAGATGAAGAGAGGCTTTCAAAAAAAGGTGCCTCTCTCTCAGCTTACCTGTCTGTACACCACTGACATGAGATCTTCATTGAGTTCTGACTTGATGATCTCCATGTACTCTCCAGAGGCACCTGAACCAATACAATATATAACATATTAATAGTCAAAACAGGCAAGGTAGCAAATAGGTCTGGGGTTTTAGAGAAGTCAGTTCAGAAAAACTCGATCTGATATTTAAGATGCTTCAAAACACTAGCATCTTAAACACTTAAAGTTATCTAGCTGATACAACAGCCAGGTATTTCTCACCTGTATGTAACTTATCCACCAGTTGCAGTCCCCTGAGTTTAGCATTGATAGCCAGCCCATACACTGTGACTGCAGCATCTGCCTGCAGTCCTGTAACCCTCAGCATGAGGTAGGGGGTCTCTATGTCATCCACAAACTTGGATATGTTGATCACCACCTCACGCATCTCAAACCTGATCAGGACAGTGATAATGTTGGTTGGGGAACTGTGGTCATCCACTGCTGGGACATCTATGGCTCTGAAAGGTGAGACAGTTTTGTTTTAAAAAGCTGAAGTAGACCCACAGGCGGGTTCTAAGCAGCTGCAAAATAATTCAGCAATTAAATTGATTTTATCAAAAGGTTGCTGCTTTCACAAGCAGCCCTGATTGGTAACGCAAATATATCTTGTCAATGAATTGAAAATATGAAAAAACTACCATTCTCTTCACTAATATTTTTGTCTAGTTGAGAAAGGTTCATGGATATTATCTCTACATAAGATATGTATGACTAATATGGATCCTACTTTGACCATTCATCCATCTCTTCATCATCTGAATAATCCTCAGCATCATAGAACTTATCTGAAGAATAAAGCACAGTCTCTTCAATAGATTTGATGGTAATATAAAACTGAAAGCTGCATTTACCATGGCATAATCCCATAATGAATTTGAAGCTAATAAGTACAGATTTATATGCAAATGATTAGGCAACCAGTCACATAACATTATATGTTTACACAGATAAATTTATGTAAGTGTAATATCAGTGCATAACAAGGGCAATACCTTAAGAATGAAAGAAATGCTTTATGTTTCCCTACTTAGTTCCATACTTACCACTGGCTGATCTCCTGGTTACAGAGATAACTGGTGTGGCACCTGCAGCCCCAGGTTTCTTCTTCTTTGGTTTGACCACAGAGTTCTTGGACACTGAGCTACTCATCCTGATCAGTTCAGGGATACTGGGCTCCAGGATGGCATCTGTGAAGTCCTGAAGTGAATGTGATACAAATATGTATGAAAGTAACATTATTTACAATACTTTCTACTTCAATGATTTCTTGGTTTGTTCAACACACTTGAGCCCACTTAAAATTCATATTAATGATTTATTATGACAATACATATTTGACAAGAGCCAGCTGCCCTTCTCCCTCTTCTAGGTCCCTGTGTAACAAACTTATTTTGCAGCTTTCAGGCCATTTAGTCACCTCAATTCCAAAAATCAAATTTTTTAATAAACAGCCCAAAATCAAGTACAACATCCCAAAATATAGAGAGCTGACAAAGAAAATCCAAATGTTGCAACCATCTCACCATATCCCAGGTTTCTATCTCCAGCCCGTCCACAGCATCCAGTAACATTGGGCTCACAGAAGTATTGGGCAGTGGAAGATTCTTGATGAATGTGTACAGTGTGGAGATCTTCTTATCAGACAAATTCAGAGTAACACCTGGGAGGTTTGCTATCACTTTTTGTCTGTGGGAAGAAAAAAACTATATTTCTATTTTTAAAATAATCATGTTATAATCCTCAAAAAACCCTGCAAGGAAAGTGAAAGAAAAACTTAATTTTGAGCTATAATCTTATTCAAAGAATGTCTGTCATTTCAAGACATATCAATATTTCATTCAAATATATCTTGATTTTTTTAATCAAATGCATTCACATACAAAGACATAGGGATCTCTATTGTCTTTGTTACCTTGGTAACTCCTGATAATCTGGCTGTACTGTGTTGAAGAATGACATGTTAAGTCCAATACTTGGTAAAATATGGAAATCAGAGTCTTCCTTGGACTGTGCTGTGTGCCAGTCATCTCCTACAAAAACAATTTCACTCTAAGATAAAATCTCAAACTCAATCAAAACAATAAATATCTTATTCCAAATTCAATGTATTGACACACACATACATAAATCAGAAAAAAAATATCATGAATTGCTTAGGATAGGTAACACTTGGTCTTGATATAGGAAAGAAAAAGAAAAGGAAAAACCAAATTTCCCAATTTCCTACCTGAATCTGCCAGCAAGATTTTCACTTTGTCAATATTGATATTGAACTTGTCATACAATCTGGTCTCCAGCTCTGTCCTACTGACATTCTGAAATAAAGATATGATAAAAATATATATATCCATGCTCATTATTCAATTAATGCATTATTTGAAGTTCAACATTAACGCCAATCTGACAGGAGATTTCTTATTCTTAAAACATTATTATCCAAAGTTCAAAAGTATAGTATCAAATTCAAAACTAAAAAAACAAAATGAAATTTGCTCTGAACAATTTCTCAATGTAGATACCTGCAGGTTCACTTCTTCTGGCTGCAGTTCACTCTCTATCTTCAGGGTACCAAGATCTACCACCAGCACATTACCTGGCCTGAAACAAAATATTTAAAAAATCAAGATCATAAGAATCAAAGTTAGAATTAAAAAAGGACAGAAAGAGCAAATCTTTATCATTTAAATTGATTTTAAAAAAATAGTATTCTCAGACGCAAACTGAACCTATTTGCTCGAATTTGTGCATGAAGGCTGAAGTACTTGCAATTAAGAAACTGGTAAGTGCAGTATGACATACTTTGCTGAGACACATATGGAGAGCTAACAGGTCATAGTTACCTATGCAATGTGCCGTGCTCTGGTATAACCACATATGGAGACCTCATATCTGCAGATACATGCACTGTCTGAAATATCAGAATGCATATGAATTACAAATGTATTACAAATGTACTGAAATGTAAAGGCAATTGGAGGATTTCATACAGTAAACACTGCATTACAAGCTCTATAAACAACAACATACACTGAACATCTTGTATTTGTTATGAACCTCATTAAAACTTGTATTCAAGGTAAAATGCTTCAATACCCGAAGCTTCAATATTATTCAGCTGAAAACTGGAAGAAGTTCTTGCAACATCTCCATAGGATGTCTTACCTTGTGTCTCTCAATGGCATATTGTAGCCCTGCTCTGCTGTAAACTGCTAGCTGTTCAAAGTACTCCCCAGCTGCCTCTCTCATCCTATTCATAGTGACCACTGGAGCCTCAAAGAAGCTGATAACCTCTGATATGGCATGCTGTGAGATACAAACAAGAATCTCATTGTAACAGTATGCTTTTCACAATGGACATCATTTGGAAGACAAAGTTTCAAAAAATGGATGTATTTTTAACAAAATTAGCTTGAATTATGAGCAACATAGCACAATTCAAAAATTATCTTTTGTATTACTCAATTTCAATAAAAGTGTAAAAACACCCTAACCGACCCAATTTTAGTTTTAAGTATTACTACATGTTTACCAATATTCTTAAAAGCAACTAAAAGCTGCACATTTCCAGTATCTAAACAGCACTAAGACTGATGTCATTTCAGCTCTGACTACTGTTCCATCTGTACCTCATCATAGACAACTTCCACAGGCTGGACATTGACTGCCAGTGCGTAGTCTGCCCTCACATGATATGGATTGGAGTCAAAATCCAAACTAAACACTTGAAACCTCTGGGATGGAGCTTCATCTGGAATGGACACATCATTTGTATCACAAATGGTTGTACAAATAATAAGATAAAACTTATCGAGATGTATGCAGCAAACTGACTAAATTGTAGAATAACCTGCTGTTGAACTTTGCAAATTTGTAAACAATTCAGGTACATGTGAGCACTCTCAAATCTGTGTGTGTCTCAAATCTGTCAATACTTTTAGAAAAGAAATTGCAATTCTGCAATACATCTTAGATATGAAGGTATCTTCTTTTAACAATAAAAGAGTACTTGTGTACTGAACTCACCAAAAACTCCTACATCTGAAGTCACCAGAGGGACCAGCTCATGCTCCACAGAGGCCCCTTCTATTTTGAATGTTTTGGTCTTCATTGACACCCTAAATATTGATAATAATATTAAATAGACAGAATTAGGGAGATCTATACCTTTCAGAAATAAAGCTTAACTTCTGACCTATTTACAACACAAAGAATACACAAATTACATGAGATCTACATGACAGAATTTAAATGTATTTTCAATAAACAAAAGCATTAGCAGGACAGACTAAATGCTAAATGAGCAATAAACCTTAAGAAGCATTTAAGAAGAGCCTTCAGAAAAAAAATTATCCAAGCAATTTGAAAATTATTTGACAAAGTAGTAAGAAATGTATCATTGTATTGTGAATTTCATTCAGGAAAAAAACCAACTAAATGATCTTAAAGACTTATATTTAAAATTATTTTAAATAAAGGTCATTACCCTACTATGCTAGTATACTTAACAATCATGATTCTTACCTAACAATGTTTTCAACAATCAAGGTCCTAAACCAACACTGTTTTTAACAATAATGGTCTTAATCCTAAACCAACAATGTATTTATCAATCAAGGTCCTAACCCAACAATGTGTTTTTAAAACAATCAAAACCCTAACACATTACTGCTCCACAAGTATAAAGCAAGCACAACACAGGATATTTTTCAAGTTCTGCAAATTAATTAACAGGATTTGTGGTGATTGCTTTTAATCTTAGAGTTAAACTCAAGCATCAATTTTTGAAATTATCTACATGTATTGAATCTGATTGAGCTCTGTGAATTATAATAATGTCATTGATCTATGGATAATATAATTATTCATTTTGGATAAGTGCTTTCAAGTGTTTTGTAAAGTGTTAGTAAAAAAGATTAATCCACTTAAATATTGCTTAGATGATAATTCTGACATGTGGATAATTTCTCATGCAGTGTAATTGTCTATTCATTTAAGTGTTGGTGTTGTTTTTCACATTATATAAGGCAAATGCATTAATTTAAGCCCCTTCATAAAGATAACTAATTGGTATCTAAACCTGTCACATGCATCAGAAATTTCTAGCGAGAACCTGAAAGCATCAGATTAAAAGAAGATTAAAAGGAAAAATATATGAAAATATTGTTAAAAAGAATGGAGGTTAAAAAAGTGACCGAGAAGAAGCATTCAACTACAGTAGTCAAGCATAAAAGAAATACAATACAAGCAGAAAGAAATTCCACCCTATCAGTAAGAGAAAAACATGAAGTCTATCCCAAAATAAACAAAATGCATAACTACCTTTAAGCTGAATAACATTAAACATAAAAATGATTCATTTCAACTTTAATTTAATATGAAGTATCCAAAATGGTGAAAATGTACCTAAAAGCTTCATATTCTGGTCTGTTCTCAAAACTCCCCGTCAAACTACCAACAGCAATTTTGAGAACATCTTTGCCATAGTTTGCCAAGGACAATGTGGAGCTCTTCAAGTGCAAGTTCACCTTATGGGCTACATACTGAAAATATGTATCAAAATACCACAAGAGAAATACAAAACTGTTGATCACCGATTGACTGATATTTCTAGAGGACATTACATTTGACTTTTTAACAAAAAAACACTCCAAAAACCTGAATGTTTTTTTAACTCATCATTAATTGTTTACAAGACAAATGTATACAGCATTAACTTCTTCTGACAGGATTCTAATCATGGAAGTATGGTTTGTAAAATAGTTATGACACTGCATAACAGGACTCAGATTTAAAATATGCAAAACATATGTACCTGAGGAGGTATTGGGACTGCAGCTGGCTGTGCAGGGTTATATCCTATTCCTTTGTACAGTTCTTCCTTTTCTTCAGGACTCAGTTTTGACCACACGTCTATAATAACACAATATGCAAAAGAACTGGTACACAACAATTAAGCATCAAGTCACTTGATTCAAATAAATAACAGAATACCAACTCAGCAACATGTCATAAGTCAAGAAACAGATACAAGTAAATATTTAACATGTTGATACATGTTGCTTCTTGTAGTTATATGGGAACAAAATTAAGATTATTCAAGTATAATAATAATCTGTACCTTTTTCATCAGTAATGATCTCTAATTCATCTTCACTATCTCCACTAGAACTCCACCAATCCCAGAAGGATCCAAAGTATCCCTTTTTCTTCTCTCTCTTTTTTGCTCTATCAGGGGCTTCCTGAATAAACTGTTGAGCAGAAAGTAAAGAGGAGATAATGTAAAGAACAATGAACTACACACATCACCTGTACTGACTCTGGTAAATCATAAAAATTGGTTGCACACATCATGTACAATTGTGTTCACTTTCATTTGTATCAAATAGTTTTTCAAACAAATTTCACTGTTTAAAATATCCTTTTATAATAAAGGCAAGGGGTACACAGCACCACCCTCTGCATATCAAAAAATGAACTTCATGTTTATGTGTAATGTAGAAATGCTTTTTCCCTAGCTACCTCTAACTTGGCATTCTCCCTGGCCAGAAGGATATTAGCAACACTCATATCTGCTTCCATTCTTTCTAGCCTTGGCAATATTTCCTCAGACTCTGGATTTTCCAGCTTCTTCTTGAACAGAGCTTTGTAGTCTCTGTACTGCTCCCTGGGGGAAGATATCAACAATACCCATTTTACTCATCTGGCTGAATTTAGTGTAACTCTCAGAGACAATCAATTTATCTTGGTCAATAATTACTTCTCAAAGCACATCTCCCAAATGCCTACCAATTAATCCTTTCATAACACATTACTCAAACAATAAATTGACACTTTTACCAGAATAATGGATATATTGTCTCAGCCTTTTATTCATGGTTAATAAAACAAGCATTTATAAAACTATAGCATTAGGTAAATAAAACACAAATTGGCAAGCTAAAAGCAGATCAACTTTCATTAAGCATGATTGATAGTAATCAAACTTCAATAAGTTTGAATGAAAAAGATAGGACAAATAAGGTCTTAATGTGGTAGTATCTTCATTTTAATTTGGAACATCTACTTCAGAATTTAATTGAAATTTTCATCTCTATACCTGTGTCTTTTTATTCTCTCCCATGAGAATGGTCTGATGTACTCTTCCACCACAGAAGTGTAAGCATACTTCCACCATTTCCTAATATTCCCTTTCAGAGAGGCAGAGGGTCTGTACTTTCTGTATCTCTGGTTGAGAGCCATCAGTTTGAACGAGTCTGCCAGGCTCAGGACATTTAGAAACTGGAGAGTAAGAGTGGTGAGTTCTACAGTGTGGCTAGCACATATACACATATACATAAGCATATCTGGGGCATTTTAAGCATATGAATATTTATTATTTTGCAAGAAGCAAAATCAGCACCTTCTACTATTCATCTATTGATGTGATAGGTTTTTCCTTTTCTGGTGGAATGAGTTTCCATGTGTCATGAATGCATTTCAAAACTTAATCCCTTAATTTTGTGGCACATCAAAACAATATCCTACATTCTTACTTTTAAGTCACTTCATAAATTATGCAGCTTCAAACCCTGCAACAGTAATTAAAGAATGCTTTCCCAATGAAACTATGGCATAATGTAGATCATTCCAACTCCTTAGGGGCTCTTGCTGAATGCAATCAGATTAGCTGACTAACATGCTGCCTCCAGCAGATAGGGGGTGATTAACTTTAGTATGTGTTCAGTTGCTTTCAAAATGAAATGAAAAAGCTTCCAGAAGCCAAGCAAAAGTCTCCGAGGAGTTGGATCAATCTATGTAGAATGATAGCTTCATTGGGAATGCACCCTAAACAGCACATTTGAGTCAAGATGGTGATATATATATATATACTCTACCTGCTGCCTTGTTATGTCAACATCAATTTTGCCCAGCAGCAAGTCAACCAGCAGTCTTGGCATAGCTATGGTATCTGCCTTGTTGATCACAGCCCTCAGTTCTGCTGACATAGGCTGCATGACTAGGGAATAAAAAGTATACCTTTTGACATGACTTTTTTTATGCCATCCATATAAAACATGAGTAATAAGTTATGAAATGAATTTTTAAATGTACATTACTGGTGGGTCAATCACAAAAATTTATTGTCATTGTGTCATTTTAAATAACTAATACATTTTTTCAACCACAGATTAAATTCATGTTTAAATATGTTATTAAAAAATAACAAAAGAAAAGTAGTGATTAGGGGATATCAGCTGAGGAAACAAAAATAGATGGTGTTAGTTACTATGGTTCCATAAAACTCTGATAAAGGAGATGAGAAAAAGAAAGAGGACAGGTTTGGGGTAAGTTCAAAATTGGCATTAATCTATAATGTATTAAGTACACAAACTTCACAAAAAGTGACAAATAATGTATAGAAACATATAGGTATAAAATTAAAGAAGTATTCTTATTTCAAGTTAAACACAAACCATTTCCCATGACATGGCAAAAGAATTGAATTTTCTCAACAATGTTTAAAAAGAAAATTTGAAAAGAATAGAATACAGCTGAGGGTAAAATTACAGAATATCAAATCAGAAAAAGAAAGATCACCAAAAAAGGTCCAACTCACTGTACTCAAACTCACTGTCATCAAATTCCTCTCCATAAATCCTGTGAGTGCTAATTGCATTTTTCATGAGATTCTGAAAAAATAAACAAACATCAATATTTTAAATATTCTAGAGAACTATAATGAGTCTAATAACATTAACTTATTCTTATTTGGTGCATTACATTAAAAAATGTGTATTAAAAATTAAGAGCTAAAAATAGGAAACTGCTTATTATAAGTGTCCAAACATGGAAATGGTTCGCTACCTATCACTGCTGCAGTACTTACAAACCAAATCTAGGAGAAAAATAATTTAACCATTGCAGGAAAGGTGAGCTAATTTTAAACAAGATCTTCATGTAACTAACAACCAAATGTCTTTACTCTTGCTTTTTTTTTTAACTTAATGCATGGCAATTACTCATTAAATTTGTTACTGTGTTTTTCCAAAATCATGTTTTTATAGTGATAGTTTAAAATGTCTATCCAAAAGCACTAAAAAGTTAATTGGCCCCATGTCAGAAAGTGATTAAAATAATAAATGATTAAAAATCAAAATATCAATGTAAACAAATTAAGAAATTACAGTAATACCATCACAAAATCAAAAGAGATACTAATATCAAATGAGATACTGATATCAGAAAATCACCCAAACTGACCCCCTAACTAGCTTACCCTCCATACACCACTTGATATCTTGGACTTGACCAGTTTACTCTCTGGTAGATATGGGTTCCAGTATATAGAGAGGTCTTTCATCCATGCCAGCTGAATGAAAATAAGAAAGTTACAAAGTTTGAAAGGAAACATGATCAACACATTTTTACATCTTTTTAACCATTCAGTTAGGCTTCATTCACATGGAAAGTCTATTTTCTAAATTCTATTTTCTATTCGCGGTATGTCTTCTGATCACGGTCTGTGCCCTGAATATCCCGCGGCGTAGCACGAGCCAGTTACTTATACAAAGCTGTAATTAATTCTCGGCTGTGCTCGGAGGAGATTCTGACACCTTGATGCATGCGCAGTAGGAAGTTAGCAAGTTAATGGCGACCGCGATTGCTTTGAACTTGGACCTAAATAGGAAAGGTCTCTTATTATGTCCATGCTTTGAAAAATGTGTTTGTCGATTTTGTGCAACAACAAGATGAAGAAGATGAAGAAGCTATACACACGACAGATACGAGTGCAACCGTCAGGTCCGATGGCAAGCGTATCAGAATCTCCTCCGAGCACAGCCGAGAATTAATTACAGCTTTGTATAAGTAACTGGCTCGCGCTGCCAGTAATTACGCCGCGGGATATTCAGGGCACAGACCGTGATCAGAAGACATACCGCGAATAGAAAATAGAATTTAGAAAATAGACTTTCCATGTGAATGAAGCCTTAGATTCTTTCATCCTCGCCAGCTGAATGAAAATAAGAATGTTACAAAGTTTGAAAGAAAACATGATCAACACAAATTTTTTATATCGTTTTTAACCTTTAAGTCAGATTTAAGAATAGCATTGTAAAACTAATACAAATACGTTATCACAACATATTATTTGATAGTTGATTTACATATTTTCTTCATTGTAAGTGAATCCCAACATTAAAATTGTTATCATGCACATACAGAAAAACTGTCAGAAGGGAGGGAGACGGTCACACAACAGGAAAAAATCTTTCAGAATGATCAATACCAATTTGTCTTAATTATCAGACCTTGTGCATGAGTGAAGCTTGAGCGTCAATCTGAGTGGGCTTCCATCTGTCGTCTGTGGACTCGGCAGACACATATCTTAGAGTGATGCCAAATGCAAATGGGTGGTCAGGGTTGGTGACCGTGTCTTCATATCTTACATGGATGTTCTCAACATGGACCTTAAATTTATCAAAATCCACAGAAAGTCAATGCTGATTGAGTGGGATAACATTTAGGATTCATAGCAATACACTTGGATGCAATATGATTAGTATAATTAAAGTTGGCACTTTGCCAGCTATTTTCAAAAACTTATTGATTGCTAACACCGAGTATTTTGTTCTTCTTATACAATTTTAACCAAAGGCAATATTATTGTCATAATAAGTATAAACTCCATATTATCCATTCTCAGAGTACAAGGTATTTCTGAGAGCAATTTTACTAGAGTCATTAATGCAAGCAGCTATCCCCTAAAGGAAATGTGTATGTATTGTCACATATACCTGAATGTTATTGATGATTGTTGCTGCCAATTTTTCAAAAAATGTCTGATCACTTGCTGATGTACCTGGAAAAAAGCAAAACAAAAAATAATCATCTTTTTTAATAGATAACTGAAGAACTCAAGTTAAATTTGTATTTGGGTTGCAAATTTATTGAAACTATTACATTACACTAAGCTTCCATCCTAAAACCTAAGTTAAAAAAAAAACAGGATCAATCACTGTACATTATAACCTTAACATAATTTTCAACAGAATTTTTAACAGAACTACCACAAGCCATCTACAATACTATCTTAGATAACACAGTGTATCTCCAGGAAGAGAGGAGGAGGGTATTCACTCTTACTTGCAGATGCAGACTTTCTAGCACTTTCAATTTCCTCCAGTTTTTTCCTCTTAATGGCATTCTGAAGAGCTTTTTCCCTGTCCTCATCGTACCCTCTGTCACACACAGGACCAGCCAGAACAAAGACATCTTCTACCTTGGCAATGACTGGGAGAGAGAACAGACTGCTCCATGGGATAACCAGGGTGATTTTACCTGGAAGTTCACAAAGGCTACATGTATCTGTTACAACAGATGGTTATGGATACCTCAGGAAATGAAATACTGAACAAACAGAAAATACCGCTTCGTGGAAGAACTATTATTTTACCTGTATGTTGATGGAGTATATTTTTAATAAACGAGGTAATAAACACCTTTGCTTATGAGATTGATGGGAGAAAGGCATCTACAAAAAGCACATCCAAGGTGACAGAGAATGAACAGCATATGCATCTTTTATAACTGATTTCTTTTTCATGAAAAAAGAAAGAAAGACATGGCCAACTAATGAAATCATTAAACACTATCACAGAGTGCACTGCATCTTTTCAATGTAAGCTATATAGCTATAAACACCATATAAAACCAATCACTTCTTGAAGAAACAAAACACCTTTTCTACAAAATCGCCCTCAAATTTGACAAGTATTTGCATTAATATTATGGGCATCAATCAAAGAATTATGCTCACCTATGCTAGTCTGCTGTTTTATCTATATGTCAATGTAATGGGTTTGTTTGGAGATCTATATAACTATTACCTTCAGAACCAAAATAGATATAGACAGCTAGTATTCCAATAAATGCTTAATGAATGCTTAAGGGAAAACAGTGACCAGCTTATCTTGAAAGTCATACAGTAATTTCACGTCTCAAAGATATTGTTAATTGAATTGACATTTAACTGATCCCTTAATTTGTTTAATTTAAAAGGGACATGTGCATTATGGCATGACTGGATATGGTCTCAAATGAGCACAAATGCTTGGGATATAATCAAATTACATATTTGCAAAACAAATCTGGAACTGAATTCCCTTCTACCATACTATAGGGTTTTCGAGATTTCAAAGCCAAATGATTTTTGATGTTGTTGATGATGTTATGTTTATTATCTCAATCCATGTTCATTCACATGGGGTCTGTGTATATTCTGATAGGCAAATTTCATCTTTTTCTCAAATATTGCAAAATTTGATAGTATTGATGTATTTCTTCACATAAATACTAATAGTAAAAATATTTTCTCTATTTTTTTCTGACAATGTAAAACATTTCCTGTCTGTGAAAGCAAAAAAAAAAGCTGCATGTCTGCATTGTTGGTTAACTTCTCTTGTCCAGAATGCATTCTGATTTGTCTTTATGGCAATAAATTGGCTGCTAAATGGAGATTTTATGATTTAATTATCTATAACAAATGAATATCGTCTGCAAGATACTACTTGTGTGAAAAATGTTAGTTCAGAATGGCATTTAAAACTTCTGACTGCATTCAATGTATAAACTCTCCAGCTTTCAGTCATAAGAGGAATTCTTTTAGATGAAAAAACACCTCTTCATTGCCATATATGTGAATGAATTTGGTGTGTTTTAAAACATTCAATCTTTTTCTTGAAGCAGAAAAATATCAAAAATGTAAGATCATGACTGGAACAATCTCCTGGAAAAAGTTGGCAATTTTGAATCCATGAATTGAAAGGTGAAGTTGGGAATCAATACAAAAGTGTCAAAAATGAGAGGAAAATCCATCTAAATGGATAATTTCTTGCCAAGAATTTCCCTGCTGTGCCTATAAATCCGTTTTAATATGTTACTCACCAATTTCTGTGACAATTAAGTGTCAAATAACCAAAATTCTAAATGATAATAACAGTTCTTTTTAAGCATTTGTAGTCTTAAAATGACATTTTATAGAATCTCTGGAAAGGTTTAATCACTTAGCAAATCTGATTTAAAACCAAACCCTTGATTTATCTGCTTAGGTAATTACAATAACTCACCAACAAATCCTGCTTTAACTTCTATAGGTAACTCTAACTCATACTGAAATTAAAAATGAAGCAACCTGTTATACACCTTTATGCTGATAAATAATACAATTACAATATCTTTGAATTATTTTTGCTGCACTAGTAGCAAATAAGTAGCAAGAACTTTTCAATTTTCTTAGCTACCTCACACTGAGCATAACTTAATCTCTTTGTAAAAATATAATTCAATGCATCATTATATACAGTTCATAAATACAGGTCAATTGGTCTCCTGTCAAATCATTCCCAATTTACATTTTTTTTTACAAATCTCTAAGTTGGCAAAATGAGTTAACATATAACAATTCACAGTATGCTCTATTTTCAGGCATATTAGCAATAAGCCCATACATCGAGGTATTGATAAATACAACAAACAGGTGTAATGAGTTCTGAATCAATCATTATAGTTCATTATTCAGGCCAACAATCATGCATCATGGTGCTGAAAAAAGCCAATCATAGTTATTTTATTCTTACAACACATCAGCTTATGTGTGATTACGAAGCATAACAACACAAATAGCATCCATTCAAAAAAAATGTTTGAATACCATTTTTGTATTTGATCTACGAAACAATGATTTTGACAATAATAATGTACTATGATTTTGAACAATTGCTGTGATGGAAATGAGACATAATCACACAGATAAAGCATATTGGTTATGTAGGAATATCTTTTATTCATCATAGGCTGAAAATTTGATACTGCTACATCTGGGTTTTTGTTTCTGGTGAATCTCAAATCTACATGTAGATCATTAATAGTTAAACACAAAAGAGCACTGCATTGACAGAATATACTGAATGCACAATTCTATATCAATCTGAAAATTTTGATATTATCCATGCCATTTGAGATAAAAATCATTTTCTTTTTACAAAACAGTGAAAAATTCATCAAAGATACTGTTTATCCTTACAAATTTTTGTGACAGATCTAAATAAAACACCATAAAGCAGATAACAGAAACAACAATTTCTCAAATATAACTAGCTCAACCATCAACCCAGTGATACAAGAGACTGTACAAGAGTGAAAGGGCAGCTACGTGTATCTGAACATACATATAACATATAATAGTTTCATTTAGTCATGCAGGAGCGTGCTTTCTACCCAACAGCCATATAGATCAAGAAGCTTCCCACAACATCCATAATCAGACAAAACCACCCTTAACCACAAACCCAAAATAAGCATAAGAAAAGAACTAATCTAAGCATATCAGCTACAGACTTCATCCCACAAAAGTGAGAAGAAATTATGGATGAAAATGTCAATCTTAGTTCAATACAGCAAACGAGCTAGATTTCAACACCAAGGACCTTTTAAAAGAACCCTCATGGCTTACAAGATAAGAAAAATAGAACTTATGTGCTATATTACAATATTTTGTACATATGTCTCACACAGATAGACATCAATCTTAGAACACAAAAAGCCACATTATACATCTTAGGGGCACCAGTACCTGTCTGCCTGGTAGTTCATGCTTAATAGATAAAATTTCAAATCAATCATCTGCTATATAACCTTTTAGCAGTGTTCGGAGGGCTTTCATTGATCAGTCCATTTGTTACAACAAAAAGGCACTATCACTAAGTGCACAAGACTGCATTCCACAGGACAATTTAATTGAGTAAATACACCCAGGAGTCTATTCTTATCTAAGATGTGCATTATGGACAACTCTTGTCTGCATTTATTTTTTTTCTTTGCATAATTCATAATGAAATGTCTGAAAATTTAAGATAAAATTTGATTACTCTATTTTTTGCCTTATCTGCCTTGAGTTTCTAAATGCTGGTTGTGACTGTCATCTATCCAGCTTTTTGTCACCATTTAAAATATTACCTTATAAATAAATTAATGGTTGGTGATAGAGCATCACTTATATTTTGAAGTCTGAAACCCTATATATATCTAAAAACAAAGTGTTCAATAGTCATACTAAAGACACATTATGAGTAAATGCCTAATCAATAAGAAACATAAATACAACGGTACCATAAATATATCCATTTGGCTATTTCTTATTTTTACCTTGTTTCTGAGTCTCCTGGAAACCCACATTTATGACTAGCATTCACTGGTCACTGGTCTAATCAAATAAAGTATAACTAGGGTGCAGAGTAGTTTTTAGGGACACTTCCAAAATTGAGCATGACATGATAGACTAAAGAATGGGCCTCACTATGCCAGTGACCTGTCAGAGTTCTCAGCAAAGCAAAACTATTGCCAATGTTGGCAGGTGCTTGATCTGCACCCTGTTAATTTATGGAAGTAGTAAAGGAAAGTGTAACAGGCTCTTCAATTCAGGGTGATCATTTGGGACATAAAAAAACCTTATTACATACCAAAGCCTCTGGTTTCAGCTGGAGATTGGTTAGCTCTACATTACCTATATAAATAAATAAATAAATAATGCGAAATGATTACTAGACTGAGTATGATATAATGAAATATAAAACTGAGCATTCATTACAAGACATTATTGAATATGTACTTAAGATATTTTTATTAATATAACAGTCAATATGTGTGTGTGTGTGTGTTTGTGTGTGTGCATGTGTGTGTGTTTTATAAAATATTTGAAATAAATTAAATGCATATCAAAAAAGCATTAAGTTTTTCTTTTAACATGCCTAATTTATCAGTACTGTGGAATTCTACAAAGAATTCACGAAAAACCCTCAAACATCCAGTTTCAGTTTCATCTTAAGAAACACATTCATCAAAGAAACTACAATCTCCACTCACCACTGAAAATGCTCAACTTAAGGTTTTGGGCATCAAGGTCCTTGATGTATTTTCCCAAGAAGCTGTTGATGACACTTGCCAAAACACCTTCAAACATATTGCCCCTAAAAGCAGAATCAAGTCATCAATGTACACTTTATGTTATCAATCTAATTTATGAAAAACTGAAAATTAGATTTGCTTATGCTCGATCAAATCTCAAATAACCAATATTCTGTGTTGTCCGTTTTCTTGGTATGAATGGTACTATGCACAGTATGTTTGTGGTAATCTGGGATGGAGGAGACATAATGTTCTATTTGTTTTGCCTGCCTACAAGCTTAATGATTAAAATGTACTTAGCATAATCTTTTCTATAAATTTGTTTTGTATACTATTCTAAAACAATGGGTAAAACATTTTTTATACACAAATCACTGAAGGTAAACTATAGAATTCACCATTTTTTAACAAAAATCACACTGACCAGGGAAGCTATAAGTATAATAATTATCAGTAAACACCCAATGCATGCTTAAAATCTGCAATATTTACCCGCTTGATTGAAAACCCTGCTGACTCAAGTGAAACCAGTGTCCAATATGGTCACATCATACCAGCAGCTGATATGCAAAGCAAAACGTGAGTCTCTCTCGGAAAAATCAATAGACAGCAACTTGGATCAATCCTGGATTTCCAGATAAAGATTTAATACACTGTTGAAGTTGACGTCCTTTCCCATTTGAAGTCTGAGCTCCCTCTCCATAAAATACTTGTTCAGCCTAGAAAAGATCAATATCCTGCAGTGGCAATTGAAAACAAAAATCTATGGCGCATCACAGTAAATATCAAATACTTAGGTTAATGATCTCTAATGAAAACTGGATTATATGTACAAAACGCAGCCTGAGATGGATCGACTAAAAGACCCAACACATCATGGTTCACATTCAGTACGAAACTCAGGACAGAAAACATGTAAATTGCAGCATAACTGAGGCTTGGCATTTATAAAGGATGAGAATGCGTATCCCGTATGACCAAACAACGGAAAATGAACACAAGGATTGAGCATGTGATATGTATCCTTGACATGTCGCTGGAACACTTCCTTATGCACTTTGTCTGGTTGAACTGCATCAGTAATGACTGAAAATCATCATGGCCTGGTAAATGTTACAAATAATTCATACTCAGTTTGAATCAGGGTTGCAAATTACATTTTACGAATTCTGTCTATTCCTAAAAAATAGTTCTTATCAATCATGAGTTTATCAACTGACAAAATTTTAATACTTTATCAATATGCTACAACAATACTTGTAATCACAGTCTCTCACTAAAGAAATTCTAGGAACTGATGACTGTAATTACATGTACTTATTAAGGTCAAGTTGAAAAAAATAACTATGAAATAAGGAGAGGAGCAAAAGGATCATCATATAAATACCTATTAACTGGTTTATTTTTTTTTCTTCTGTAAATCTTATGGTTATTTCAAAAATTGCAATAAACATGTTGAAGCAGAACACAGAAGACGTAAATATGGCAAGGACACAAATTTCTCCATTACAATTCATCACCGGTATAGCCAAATAATTGCTATTAGATTGAGAGCTTATCTGATTATTAGATTGTTAATTGGTATAAAAATATGCTTGGTATGAAATTAGTTATTCAACAAACAAATGAGGACTCAAGTTTTTTTTTCTAATATGCCATACTGCAACTGATATCATATTATCTGCAAATTGCAATATATTTCATTCATTGTAAACATCACATACAAAACAATGATAATAAATAATTTATAATGAATCAAATTTGACAGTCCACTTAGTAACATAAATCATGAAATCCCAATAATACAACTATAATCATACTCACATAACTGTATCATAAATCTGCTTCATTAAGTAGGACACATACCTCTTCATATTTTCCATGTCAATAACTTTGGCAAGATCTGAGTATACAAAGTCTAAGGATATTAATGACCTCATTATATCCTTCTTTTGTCACATATTTACACAAAGCTGGCAAAGCAATTACGTGCACCTGGATTATCTGTGAACAACACATCTTTACTAGTAGTGACTCATTGAGCCACCAGTAGTAAGCTACTGGTGCCTGGAGAGTATTATACTAGATAATTATGATGACTTGTATATAATATTGATAACTGTGACACAAATGCAAGATATCATTAACAACACATTACCAAGTATTATGCACTATACTATATATCCCAGGTAACAGCCTTCAGCATTATACTCTGTTCAGTCAGTCAGCAGCATTAATTTTCAATGTCTTTCTGTGGTTACACTGAACATTACTATATGTATCATGCTAAATATATCTAACAGTACTTGTACTAAACCAGCCTGTGCCTGCAGTCCATATATCATCCACTGCTTGACTAGGAAAAAACAATTCTACAATCATACATATGATCTAGCTTAACCTTTATCAATAGCAATAATAATGGCAATAATGGGTTTCAAAGACAACTATTCCTGAACAGCTCCATAAAAATATTTACAAAAAGCTACAATTTAGTTTGACTTGGTTTTACTTGAAATATCCATTGAAAGTCTGAGAAAATAAACTAAATCACTCTTTAAACAAACAAAAACATGACCTCCCTTGTGGGAGACTTTTTTTTTTTTAAATAAACGTAACTTTGGAGTGACTCATATTATGGGAATGTTCTCTGCCTTGCTATATACTGCATAATAAATACAAGAAAAACAGATAAATTGTACACTCTGCGGGCAGTTGCAAAGAGCTAAGATTATTGATCTACACTTGGCCAGGTGATGGCTATCCACAACAAATCATACTGTTAGTTTGGACACAAACCACCCAGTTCTCCGTTTCCAGCCAAACCACAATCATGTTTTTATCAAATATGAAAAAGTTGATTGCTTATAAATTAAGGATAAAAGTGCATGTAAAAGTGATGAAATCTGATGAAAGATTATAATAACATCTGAATTTTGCAAAGAGGTCTTACACATACTCACTGACAGTATAAAGGCTGCTACAGTATTTAATGGCACCTGTACTGTTCTGGATACAGCTATACTGTATGCATCATCAAAAAGGAGTCAAGGTTAATGTGCAGATCGACTTAGGGAGCCCCACTGGACATGGTATTATACATATATTATATAATTTATGAAGCAACACATGGCCCATGAGAGTCAACTGTAGTCAATGTAGGCTGAAACAATTATTTACACCAAGTGTGCCTCAAGAAGCCGCTCTACAATTTTACATAAAATATCGGTATATTACCTTCGTGAAGTAGTGATATATGTAAAACAACAAGTTATAGATAAAAGTAACGTGAAAATACGCATTTCAAACCATTGCAATGAACCTAAATCAAAAATCTTACACGGCACACTTGTGCTTACCCGCCTTCTTTCCCTGTTGGGTTTGTTATTATCCGGGCTCTTGCAGCGACCTTTGGGGACATTACTACGTCACTTTCAATATGTCTGCGCCCTTGAGGTGTCATGCATTTTTGTTATGAACTTAGATCGTAGACATACTGAGAATGAATGAACATTTTACATTGTCATAACATTATATGTAGTTCTCGGGCAACATGTCAGACTACAGGTGAAACTTAATCAAATGGTTTATGTGAAGAGAAACTGTAGTGAGCTGTGATCGTGGAAGTCAACTCAAGGATAATTTATTACATTACTAGTGCTAGTAGTAAGTGGGTAGCGAGACTGCGTTTTCTGTGTCTAGCACGACTTAACATACGTTTAAATAATTGTAATTACTGTACGTCTAGCACAACAGTGAGTATATTAAACGAGATGAAAGACTTGTTACTCGGGAAAGTTGAAGTAGGAAGCATGAATAATTTTCTTGATTGTGGTTAGTTGCAGCTTACTGTCTATTTAATTTGTATGTTATTAACACAGCTGTTAACTTTTGCATTAATGATTTTTGTTTCTTTCCCCGGGCAATGCTATTTCAGTATGCAGGCTTACATAACACTCACTCACAAAATTGTACAAAATTATTACTGAAGCAGGTATTATTATTAATATTGAGCTCTTTTTTTTTCAGGTGTTTCATGTTACAATGAGTGCCCTATCCTTGGCACTTAAAAGTACCTGCAAATGTCCCATGGTGTTTGCCCAAAGAATAGCTGTTCCTTGCCACAGGCAAAAAGTCAACAGGAGGTTTGCCCATCAGCAGAAATATGTCCCCCGCCGTGCAATGCTCTATGTTCCTGGAGACTCTGAGAAGAAAATTCACAAAATCAGCACTTTAGATGTTGACTGTGCAGTCATGGATTGCGAGGATGGGGTGGCACTCAATAAAAAGGTGTGATACATTACAAAGAAAAGTGTAATCAATATTTCATCATGCACTCTACCATTATCTGCAAATACTTGAAGAATTATGCTCTGATGAGTACTATACCAGGCCTATTTACCAAATATTTTTGAGTGTTATTGGTTTATTTCTCTGTGATCAGTGTGTCAAGTGGTGAAAGAAAGAATGGAAAATCTTAAAGCTAAAAAGTTAAATTAAGAGTAATTTTTAACTGTTACTTGCTACCTTAAATTTCAGAAAGAAGCGCGAGAAACCATTGCATCAGTGTTGTCAGAAGGAAAATATGATTTTGGCAGAACAGAGCGTGGAGTGCGCTGCAATCAAGTAACAAGTGGTTTTGCTGAGGATGATTTTAAAGTCTTGTTTGGTGCCAAAGTTGTACCAGACCTACTGTTGGTTCCAAAAGTAGATACTGTTGATGAAATGGAGTGGGTTAGGTTTATTCTTTTTATTCTATATTCAGATTAAGACTTTTTCGATAGATGTAAGATTTACATCCAGGTTTTCTAAGAACTTAATGTAGTTTAGTTTAATTCATTATATACAAGGTTACTTTTTGAGCAGAATTTTAAAAATCACTTATTGTAGCATTTTATTTTTATTTATTTATTTATTTTTTATTTTTTGTTATAACAGAAAAAAAGGAATACACAAAATATGCCCGACAACCCTTTCATTTAAAGCATAAACATATTAAGTATTGTCTTTCTCTAGATTGCAGATAAGTTGAAAGTCTACCTAGGAGAAAGGCAAATGGGTGCCCCTCTTAATTTAATCTTCCAAATAGAAAGTGCTATAGGACTAATCAATCTCCACCAGATAATTCTCAAAGGATTGGAAAAGTCAGAAGATGGGGTATTTCATTTGACAGGAATCATGTTTGGGTCTGATGATTTCTGTGCAAATATTGGTAAGCATTTTCATATTATTCTTTCCTTTTAATATGATCTTACCTCCTGTTATATACATGTGACATTTAATTTCATTTCATTTCCATTTCATTTCATTTCATTTCATTTCAAGTGAGGGATAAGCCATTTTAAATATTTTTAATTTTAGGTGCTAGCCGCACACTAGATGCTTATGAACTGACATATGTCAGACAGAAGATAGTTGTACATGCAAAAGCATATAATTTACAAGCAATAGATATGGTTCAAATTAATTTTAAAGGTAAGTGCTTATGTGGTTAAACACCAACGCAAGCAGCATAAAAAATAACTAAAGCCACAGGAGTTAAAGAGTTTTTCAGTTAACTTGAAAATTGTCAAAATAAGATTTCTCATTTTAAAGCACACCCATAACATTCTGTTTATTAGCAATACTGTACCTGTGACATCTCAGCCTATTTACAGTTCAATTATCTAAAACAAATGAAATTTTTTTATTTTTATTGAGTATAAAAGATTGGTAATTTCTGCCCGTTGACACTGTAGATCTTAATGCCCTACGAGAACAGTCATTGCAAGGATCTCGTATGGGATTTACTGGGAAACAAGTGATCCATCCTAACCAAGTGGCAGTGGTACAGACAGCATTTTCTCCCAGTGAGGAGCAGATTCAGTGGGCAACAGAGATGATAGAGGCATTTAATGAGCACCAGAAATCCGGAAAGGTAAAAGTTGTACATTTTTATTTTTCTCATTGTATGTGCACCTGTGTGCACTCAAGTGTTAACCTGAGCTGTGCATTAGAATTTAAAACATTTGTAACCTATATGTGATATGACTTTAAGACCCCATTCCCACAGATTTTAGATCGATCTATCCCTGTGGGGAGTCTCACTAGATTACTGTCAGCTTAGCCGACTTAAGCGTCTGTCCCGCCTACTAAAAGCTGTAAGGGGGTAATTAACTGTTGTGCGTGCTTGGCTGACTGCAATTTAGTGTCAACCCCCAGGGAGTTAGGTCCATCTGGATGGATCGATCTACATCTCTGGGAATGCACTTTAAGTTGCCTTTAAAGTAACCAATATTTTGTCTTTTTTCAGGGTGCCTTTGTGTTCCGTGGAGTTATGATAGACATGCCCAGTGTGTTACAAGCCAGGAATATCGTACAACTTGTTCAAGAACTGGACTTGATTCCACCTAAACAAATTTGATTGTTATGAATTTTAATGAGATTATTTGTATTAGGTTATTTATTGTGTAGCTTGTTGGTTGCAAGGATTGTTAAAGATACAGCACAAATTGGTGGGCTCAAATTGTTACATTATTTGGCAGAAAAATATAGTTTGTTGTACATTTAAATCTGTTGTTGGACACAGTGTCAAGTTGGATCATACTTGATGGCCCCCCAAGTTCTTTTCCTGAATGTATTCTGGTCACATAAATTTCAGAAACTGATGACAAAACTGGCAGGTGACAAACATTAAAGTCCAGTTTCATGTTCTGGACATTACCAATAATCACAGTCCAGACTTCCTTTGGGATGCTCTGTTCATTTATGAATGACTTCCTCACCTACCAATATAAAGCATTTGTTTCTTTTGAGAAGGGAAAGATTGAGATGCAATGGTGTTAATAAAGACAGTAGGGCTATATACATAACTAGCTATCATATGGTAATTTATTTTGTCATTAACATGCTTATACTAATCTCCATCGAGTGGTGTGGGTAACCTCACAACTCCAGTGAAATCTGTTAATACTACATGTTCTTGTGAAAGGAATGTCATATCATTGTAAAAAGCATTAAATATTTGAATCCGAAAAAGGTTTAGAATGTAAACAAGTCTATATTTTGTTTAGTTTGAAGATTGTTAATTTTAATAGACTTTTAAAAACTTTGTAAGAATAAAATTTGAAAGAGCACAAATTAGGTAGAGGATTAATATTCATGGTGGATATGGACAAGGGTCCCCCTCGCACACACACACACACACACACACACACACACACACACACACACTATAAAGATGAGGGAGAGAGAACTAGTAGGCACGAGGCTGAGATTATAAGCCTAGGTATGGATGTTTTCAGCATTTACACTTGTCATTTAATCTCTAAATATGGGAGCAGCAGTAGCATTATAAGTATTTTAAGCTCAAAAGTTTAAATTGGACTTATCCACAAGTACATCAAATGCTCTCATGTCTTTTTTCCTCAACTGCAGTGTTCTCTTGCATTGAACAGTAATGAATATTGTGTTTCAAACCTAGGCCCAAGGGATTTGCTATCATACAAAGTACTTAAAATATAATAGCTTGGTATTGCTTTGGCGCTGTGACAGTTTAAGTCTGGCTCTTAGTACAAATCCAGCTGCCATCACGCTTAACATTGTTATGGAGACATTTATTCAATTTCAAAGGCAATTAATCAGCTGTAACCTCTTTTTTTCAAGTAACTGTTGCTCTCACTTTACATATAGATTAAATGTGAGATGCTATATGGAAGCTATTCAGGCTGTGACAACATTTGTTAAGAGCTGCACTGNTGTTTTTTATGTCTTTAAACATTATGTAATATTATTTTATGCACTGTCATCATTTTTCAAATATTGAGACTTTCATAATGTGAATTTGAACTCTCATGGTCCTGAAACTGTAATCTTATTGAAGGGGTGGATTGAGACCATCTTCTGGGTCTTCCGGAAGACAGTCAGGTTATTAGTTTATATTGACTGGTATCTATTTTTTTCTGTTGGAACACCATCAAAATGGAGGATGGATCAACATAGATACTTTGTAATACTGTCAGAAAATATCTCTGGGTCCGCTCCTGTTATTGACCATGTTACCTATTGTGCAAGATTAAAATTCAGTGTTGACTGACAGTGCTATTATAAGCATTATTTATTATTGCATCAAAATTGACAAAATGACCTTTTTTGCATCTTTATTTTCTGTTTTTTGTCTGTACATTTGACAGCTTTGCTGCCTTGTTTCATAATCGCCACTAATAAGGTGTATGGGACTTTTCAGACTCCATAATCATTCTAATAAAACTCTTAAAACTATAATACTTATTGGTAGTTCTTAATAAAGGAGAAGAGATTGAATTTAATCATTTTTCTGTGAAACTGCTCCCCATATTTATTTCAATGATATTCGAGTAAGGACATGTTATAAAATGAATATTTAATCAAGTCCAGTCTTCAGACTAGTTAAAAATATAATGAATTTCTTTAAAAACATAACTGTTATACTAAAACTGTTAATAAGATTTTAGCAGTTTTACAATTAATACTGAAAAGAAGACAAAAATCTTCAGATGCCAATACACAAGCAGGGCATCGAGTTAATATAAAGACCTTCAGAAAGTAGGAAATAAAAGATTCACAAAAATAGAAATTTTGTAGCTAATTATAGCAAGAATATGCATTAATACTTTAAAACAAAAATGGCTCTCACTGCTCCTTCAGCCATCCAAGTCTACCTCACATTTTCTTTTGCTTGTAGTAACTTACACAATATCATAATGATTATACATGTATAATCCTTAAATAGATTAACAAATGCTGCAGCTAATTTGAAAGTTTTTGTAGCTATAACCTGCATTAACAGTTCACTATTGTCAAAAAACTCCAGAAGAAATCTTCCCAAGTTCTTCTTTAATTACACTGCATGATGTAAACAGAGTTATGGTATTAAACAAGCATAAACATTCCATTCTTTGCAAACAAGTACATTTGTATAATTTTTTGACAATAAAAAGTGACTAGTTGCGGTATTTCAACAAGCTTAACATTTTGTAAATAACAGTTGCCATTAAAATGGAACAGAAATATATTGAGTACCATTTGTTATCAATGTGACATTTTACCTCATTTCATTTCCCTGGGAAATATTCGGATTCCACTTTGGGGAAGTGGTACAAAAATGACTAGAGGATCAGAGAGGCGATACCGCCTCCGGATATTGTACCACCAGCTGGAGTAAGCGCATGCGTATGGAACCTCCCCCCCCTCCCAAAAAAAGGGACACCATCACCAGTCTTGTACGTGCTTGACAAGCTCTATAAAACGCAATCAACAAGAGTTCTCAAAATATGCCAAAAAAATATAAATAAAAATGGTACAATCAAGCAGATTTTTGAACTGACCTGCATTTTCCTACCATTGATCACTCCTGTGATTCTCTAGACAAAAGGCCTATTGGTTTTCCTTAAAATGTGTTGTCAGTGGTGCATATATGCTGACAAAAGAGAAAACCTAGGGGCAACACCGGGCACATCTCTGCTAGTTTTGAAGATATGAGGGTCAAGAAAAATATGCAAAGCTTAGTTCATGGTGGAAAAGTAGGTCAAAGTCAATTTCAACATCATAGTATATGAATTTCTAATCAAGTTCAATAGTAACCATGGGCATTTCTTTTCAAATTTTGCAGATTTAAAGGTCAGAAAACATGCAAAAAGCAGTTCATCATAAAAATTAGGTCAAAGGACAATTTTAAGTTCACAGTAAATTGCCAGTGTATTACTTCCTATTCAAGTTCAATAGTAACTATGGACCTTTCTCTGCCAGTTTTGGAGATAAAAGAGAATGGAAATTTGCAAAGTTCAATTCATGATGAAAAGTAGGTCAAAGGTCAATTTAAAGGTCTTTTGCTTTCACCACTACAATGTGCTTTTTGATACAGCATAACTCAAAAACCGTATGGAATACAAAAAAACGGAGACCACCCTCAGTGTTGGGCTTTACATGCTCTACAAAATGCAAAAAAGAATGGGTCTCTAACATTAACAGTTCCCGAATTAGAGACAGTTTTTAGTTTCGGTATCTTATGGCCACTACTCCTGTGAAAATACACCGATTGACCCCAAATTCACAGAGATGAAAGATGACCTGAAGGGTAACACTTTCCAATAATATTATTGGTTACGTCTGTGTAGTTTCTGAATATCAGTGCAAATAATTTTTTTTTCATTAAAAATTTCGTTTTTTGAAAATTTGGCCCATTTGACCTTAAAATGAAGGTCAAAGGTCAAATCCAAGGGCATATTTGAAATCTCCACATATGACTTTTGGTCAGCCGACTGTAGAAATTTTTCCCATAATTCCTTCCGTAGGTTAGATAATTAGCATTTAATTTTGCCATTTTTGGACAAGGGTGCATTGCAATGAGTGCCACACCTAGACCCCAGCACCGACAAAGACCAAATTTTATGTGGAACGAGTTGAGATTATAGGTGACCTAAATCCAAGAGATGGGTATGGAGGCCCTTACCTCTTGGAGGAGAAGTGGTAACGGTAACATGGCGGAGGAGCTGCAGGAGCCGTGGAGCCGTCGAAGTCCGGCAAAACGATCCGGACAGGACTAAAACCATATGTACCGCCAGCGCCTACGCTGGTGGTACAATAATTATACTTTGCTATATGTCTCCAATATTTCATCAAGTACTTAAAACCGATATTGAGCACTGAACAACATTTGTTACTTATCAGGAGAACAACATAATATATAAAAAATAATTTTGCAATTACTGCTGTAAGAGAAGACATCTCAAATTAAAGTAGATATAAGGATATGTTTTGAAATATTAATTTTTTTCTTCTTAACATTTACATCTGATTCATCTGTCAACAATGATTAATCCATACTCTTTTCTCAACTCTTCCAATGTTTTACAAATGAATGTGCATTGATTTGTTTCAACAGACTTACCTGGTTTATGTTTTTGTGCAGCATCAATATGATACTCTGGGGTAGCGCTAGCAATTTTTTTCGCTTAGCCAAATCATTACTTTTTGTCAATTTGTTATCCAAATGGTGTTAATTTGACTAAAATGAGTCAAATCAAGCCCTTTTTGTTTAGCCAATTTAAGTCAGTTTTAGCATTTGGGTAAATTGGCGAGTGTTAGCGCTACCCCAGATACTTCAAAACATGGCAGAATTTTTACTGACCAAATCCAGTGAAGATGTTGGTATTACAAACCTGGTACCTGTTGACCTATAGTTTGATGGGTCCCTGCTGGTTGGCATTGTGCCATCATTGCCATGGTGTTGGTTACCATGATTACAGCAAGTTGACTTTTACCACATTGTCTTATATTACATTTTCATCTAGGTTTTAAGGCCAGATATACAAACAACTGCCACATTTTGCGTCTACGTTTTCTACTTTTCCAAATGAACACTACAAAATTATATGAAATATATTGAGTTGTGCAAAATAACAACTGAAATGATTGCTGATTTTCATTTAAGATATACTGCCTCAAACAATTTTTGATGTATTGCAGTTGTAATTGTTGAGGCAAGGCGAGTCCCTAGAAAGGATCACGGGCAAAATGGGCATAGGTGAGAGCGTAATTCTTGAACATGCACAGCTGGTTATCCACTCTTGAAAAGCCAGCAAACTCATCCCACTTCTCACACTGCATATCTTTGTGGACTCCGGCAGCTTTAGAAGCCTAAATCAAGAAATTCATGTAATTTAAAACAACAGCAAATTACTGAGGAATTTGTAACTTTTTTATTATTTGGTATATATAATATATCATGCTGGTGGCATGGTCATACATATTTTGCTTGGATAGATGAAAATAAGGTAATCCATTACCAATGCAAACCATTTCATAACTAACCCTACATTATAAAATTAATGATCAATATTTATGACAAGAGTTTTATTACTTTTTTCTCTTCCTGTGCACATTAATCAATATTCCATATATACTCACCTTATTGGCAAAGACTGTCAACAGGAACTTCCTAGGTTTGAAGCAGTTGAGAACATGCATGATCAAATCATGATAGTCAGCCTGGAAAAGGTTGAACACAATTAATTACAAGAGGTCAGCAAGGGGTGAGACCACCTAAAATCATACCACCAGCTGGCTCCATGTTTGAAACATGGGTGATTTTAAAGGGCCATTCCATGGGATTTTCCCGCCAAAATAAATTGTAAGAGGTTCTCTTCACACGTTTGAAAATCCCCAGTCATATATTTATGTCCTATTATGCTTCTTATATGTCCCAAATCAGACTCCAAAGACAAAAAAAACTCTAAATTGCTTTAACTGAAGTGTACCCTGTGTGGTTATTACATATCTTCTCAATCTCCTTGGGTAACCACTGTCAGCTTACAACATTTCAATGTCAGCTTGTAATGTCCATTTTCTTTTTTGTGTGAAAGTGAGGCAAAGTGAGTGACGGCAGATGTCATTTATAATGACTGGCCAGTCATTTAAAGTGAAGTATTAAATTTAAAAAGGAATAAAACATCGAATCCAAGTTCAAGGACAGGTCAAGCAATAATTCACGAGTAGAAAATTAATTGTTCTTTTCCCCAAGAAAATTCATTTTGAGGGGGAAATTTCATGGAGTGGCCCTTAAATACATTTCTATTTATTTCTTATATTATCTAATTCTTGCTTCTTTCATTTATTGTTCATTTTGCTATGAAGTTAGATGCATGTAGTAGCCACAATATATATAAATCACCTGAGTTATAGGTGAATTACACAGGTACACAGCACTGTACAAGTGGATTCCATGTCCAACATGGCTAATAGTGTTGTATCATGGGCAAACAAGACAAATAACAGTAGAGTACCATACTTGCTAATAAAAATAAGTATATCAAGTAAAAGAATAAAGAAGTTTCATTATACTCCCATAAGAAAATTTTAATGGACTATCTTCAAATAGTTTGGAAAAGATGATTAAAAAAATAATGAAGCTTGAACTAATAAGTTGTTTTTAGTCCTTTATTTCATTTATAAATCATATTTCTTTGTTAACTTTTAAATATATCACTGCAAAGAAAAGGCAATGGACAGATGAGGCAACAGATTAGTGAAACAACAAATTCCCAGCCTATTACTCACCTGAGGTACATTAGTTTCAAAGCTGACATAAGAACACTCAGGCTCAGGTGTTATGTGGATAGTTATGTAACGTGCCTAAAATAAATAAGAACACAAATTGTGCAAATTGGTCTCTGGTACAAATCACATCTTCAAACATACAAGTATGGACTGCTTGACAATGTCAGAATGAAATTGAAGTATTTCAGTATAATATCCTTTTCACATATGTTTTAGTGACTGTTTCCTTTTTATATGTTCACACACTGTGATATTCAAATATTCTTTTTTCTTAGAATATAACTGATGAAGTTCTAAAACCAATAGCTATCAAAATAATATTGTTCTTAGTAAAACAGAGGATCAGTTTTTCAGTAATCACACTTCTAAACCTCACAAAATAACCATGCAAATTAAATAAGATGGCTGTGACACAGATGTATGAGTACTAAATGAACTCACTTCTTATCTAATCATAAGTCCTACACAGTTAAGATTGTAATATCAGACAGTAATACTAACATCTGGCAAGATTCCATTCATACTGTAACCACAAGGCTCAAACAGGTAGTCATCAATTTGGGCTCCTGGGAGAAGTTCTGCTATTCCAGAGTGCTGAAACATAAAATTGTTAATATTCCTCTTAAAGTTTTCTGTAGCATGACCGAAAAATAATCATTTTAATATCTGAGAGTTGTAGTTACATAATTATTACTTAATTATTCACTACAAAATCCCAATTAAATAAATGACAGAAAATAAATAACGCTATGTACTTGAGTTTCCCTTGTAACCATACTAGGACATCATACCCATAACAATAATTACTGATCATTGTGTATACTTTATCCTTATTGACATTCAGCAAGTGCCACATCATTTACAAAAACTGTGCACTTAGCACATGCTGCTATGTCACACTTTGATACAAGACAAAACATGAATCAAAGTTAGGTTAATAAATCATCTCTGAAAAACTTTTTTTTCTCTTACTGCAGTTGCCTGGGTTGCAGTCTTGCTCACTTCTGTGGTAAATATTTTCATTACCTCTGGATCCAGACCTGACAGGAGTACGTGTGGAAGTTAAAGGAAACAGCATATATTCTTGTTTGTTTTTCATTAGTAATAACAATTTTGCATTCTTATCTCAACATTAATTTCACACACGTTAAAGAAACAAAATTCCAGCAACATTTTATCCTCCCAAATCATTATCCATGTAAATATAATGGCACAAGGGCGCAATTTCTTTCAAATTTAAACAACTAAATTGGAATTCTGATTTGAGGCTGTGCAGAGCCTTTTAATATCAATAACACATTTTAAAGGATATTTCTAAAGTCTGGTCTGGCTCTATCACTCCTCGCCCTGGGCTGGTTAGTTGAGGGTTGGTGGTGTACAGGTACCTGAAAAAATGATTTTAATATTTCTTTTTAATTAATAATATCTGTAACAGATTTGGTCCCTCTTGTAAAAGAAAAAATAAAAGGTTATCAACATCAGACCACATCAAAAAATAGAAATACATTTCATAATATATGAAGCACATGCTGAGATGAAATGCAGAATAACAAAAGATAAATGGAAATTAATGAGGAGTAGTGAAAATATTATGCCAGATGCCCTTTTCAAAGGCTAATCAAAACATTCCTTATATAAATATATAAAATAAATAACTCACCATGCATCAGCATTCAATTTTCCTAGTATATAGGCACCTCCATCTATAATCAAATAGAATAATTTTGTTTTTAAATAAATATACTAGTAGTCAGGCATGTGCGTGTGAAAGGAGAGAGCGAGTTCTATAATATTTGAATGAAACATTTTACCCTTTATTTCAAAAGTGTGTTCAATTGCAAAATTATGCAAAGACTGAAAACATTTTTTAAATCTAAACATAACATATCTTTTTTATTATCTTACATGCTTAAAACCTTTAAAAGGAGAAAATGAATGCACCATTTTGTCTTTAAGAAGAGGACAGGGTTATATTTCCTTTTTGTTTTACAATCATTTCCAACTGTTTTGAATGCATGTCTGCAAGTGTTAAATCTATGATCAAGTACACACACGTGGGAACCATAGAAAATATCATAATATTGTGAATATGTTTGTTTCAGGAAAATATCAGTCTGAATGTCCGCAATAATCTGGATGTGAAAAAGCAATATGTATGTGTAAAGGAAATACTTTAATTTATTAAACAAATGAGCTCTTGTTTATATATCTCTTGAAACAGAATTTGTCTTTGCATATTTCAAAAAGCATTTCTCACACTAGATTAAAAACATTTTCATCAGACAAATTTTCCAAATAAAAAAATAATAACCGCTCACCTTTAAACAGCTGATCCAAGTATTTTACCTGAATAATAAGATTGAAAATCAAATAAAGATAACATATTTTAACATTAAGTTTTTTTACAAAAGAAAAACTTATATTTTACTCAAAAGACATGGCTTTATCCACCATGAGAAGACTAGTTATCAAAACATTCAGAAGAAAACTGTTACCTCATCTTCAAATCTCTGGTGAAGCTTTTCCTGCAGATGCGGCTGCATGAATTTCTTGCGAGAATAAAACACATCCTAAAAGAGTAGCAAAATATTGCTTTTATATGCAAAATAGCTGGTCATGCAATGCAAATAATGTAATCCAGGTGTATCTACTTATCTTTACTTAAATTTATGGTCATCCTGCAGTGGTAAACCATATGAACAATATCTGTTATCCACACCACCAATAAAAGGGCTATATGATAATTGCAACTTTTCTCATGAAACATTTAGTCTTAGAATGTGCTAGTTACACAGACAACATGACTAGGAAGACCACCATTTTTAAACTAGGAACATTTTGGCTTAGAAGAAAAAATAACCTGTTAGGCAATATAAAGGCTAATTAACACACTCTTATATAAAACTTGCTGTCATAATATAAAAATTATAATGTTTATTGCACATCTGGTTGGCTCATGCCTTAGTAAAATATGCCTCTAATCAAAATAACGTAATCCGAGGCTGGGTCCCTGAGTGACTTGTGTTTTGACAGCATAAAAACGTGATATGTTTTAAGGATGGTTGTTTTCTGTACTTTCAATGTCTGCATCTCCCTTACATAAGGTGGTATTATATATATAATGTGTTTAGGCACTAGCAATAAACAAGGTACTGAATGATAAGTATAATACCAGGCTGTGAGAGTTCTTTTGTTCATTGCCAGACCCCCAACAATAAATCAAAAGAACCCTTTTAAAATTAAACCTACAGGCTCTCTTATTTGGGATACGTTTACCTTAAAATTGCATCATAGATTCCCAGGGTTCTATTTTTTTTTACTGCACATGACAAGAATGAAATGACTTCAAATTACGTGTTACTAAACTAAAAGTTATGTGGTACAATCAAGGTCAAATCTCAGCTTCAATCCAGACCTCCTCATTCTAATATTCCTCATATTTTTTTAACAACTTTATCAATTGTCAATCAAATAAATTATAAATTGACTGGTTACTTCAAACCCAGGTCCCCCTCCCCCCACAAACAAGGTGGACACACACACAATGGCTCTAACAATCAACACAGATTTAAGTAAATCGCGGTTTTCAGTTTTTAAGAACAATTCCATGTACAGAATCATTCGTATATCCAAACAAAATACTAAATAAGTTATAATGATGATCTCATTGCAAGGATCGAAAAGGCACCATCAGCTCTAGTTAATGTTTCATACAGATGCTTAATTATATGACTGAAACCATAGGACTGATTCTTCATACTTGATGACTGCTTGCTTTAAATTGTTTACACTGATAGGAGGCCTGGTTATCATTCAATCTCTGTCACATATCCAGATGTCTCCCATGGCTCTTTGACACACCAAGGTCGAAAGTAAGGATTACAAATGATAATTGCTTATCAAAAATGCATTTGGCTTCAAAAAGTTGAAAGAAAAAAATGAAAAATGTAAAAGAAAAAAATTTTTTTTCAAACTGTGTTCACACACTAACAGGCATTTGTTATGTGTTTTATGACAAATGCAAGCAAAAATACTTTCACATTAATAATTAATGGTAGTAATGTAACATTATGCCGCAAGGTCTCATGGATCAGTTTTTTACAGGAAAAGTTAGCATGGTGCGTATTAAATGTTTTGAATTTCCTTTAAGATACATTTTATTCAGAAATTGAGCAGATATGACACGTTACTGAGCTCAATTTTCATTTTAACTAGCTGAATGTTCTCCCGGTAGGGACATATAGTGCCTCCTTAAGTGACAGTCACCTAGATGGGACCTAAATAGATAACATATCTTTATACTAAATCATTACTGGATGCCATGGTGTCTCCTTTAAGCGTATAATGTCTTCCAAAGGGATGATAACAAGTACCAATTTAGATTTACATAAGTGTATTAATATTATGAACCTGAAGCTGGTATTTCTCTGGTGCAAGGAATGTATGTTTTTCAACTTTAAACTCTCCTCATAATGGTCAGTGAAAGAAGGTTCAGAAGTGGACAGCGCTGTAACAATGAAAGCCACTCTCTCTCTCTCTTTCATGTAAACAGTGTTGTGTTGGTTGATAGAAATATGGCATGAACCCCTCATATGTGTAACAATCCTATTTCAAAAATGTGATCACAACGGCTTTACAGACACAACAACTAGTGCAGTCTTAAATGTCAAACCATCAGAAATTGATACATCTGTCTTGGGTCTTAAACAAAAAATGGAAGAAGATCTATTTTTCATGAAACATTTTAAAAAGATATCAGTGTAAAAATGTTTCATACTAACTAACCTATCATAAGAACTCCCAATCAAAAGTTGAAATGCCAAGATCAATTTTATATATTTACTTCATCATGCTCTTTTTAGAAGACCCATTCCCATACCTAGATTGATCTAGTAGGATCGCCCATAGGAATTTTCACTAAATTGAATTCAGCTTAAGAGGCTCTGATGTCTGGCATGCCTACTGAAGCTGTTAGGGGGTAATTAACTATTGTTTAGCAGCTTCAGTAGGCATGTCAGACATCAGAGCTGCTTAAGCTGAATGCAATTTAGCCAGAAACCCCTCCTAGATGAGTTGATCCTGCTAGATCGATCTAGGTATGGGAACAAGGTATAATACATCATTACCCTTTTTCTTTTGATCTTTTGAGGTATCTTGCCATCTGAAAAACTATAAGCACATGAAAATGAAAATTTAAGACAGTATTATCAAATTTAATTAGGAATATCAATAATATGCTATGAATAATAAACATATGAAAATATTACCTCAACAATGTCAAATCCACAATATTCTTTCACCTTCTTAAGCAGTGGCTGGACAGCATACAGTAAAGTGGTAGTGCCACAAGTCTTCAGAATAAATCGATTCTTCGATATAAACATGCTGCTTTCACTATTATAAAAAAAATTAAAACAACACTGCACTGGATAATAAATGACGTACAAGACTAAACTTTCCATGACCTCCATTTAACACATAAATAGAGCACATACAGAGAACACATAAATACAAGAAACCCATACAAGACCTTCAAATCGTGTTCTTTAATTGTATTAGTATTCTAAGTTTCTCATAATTGTTGCCGCTAAGCTAGCTTCAGCGTATCTTTTCAGACAAATGTTGACTTACCTGAGAACATAGGCATGGATGCTTTCATTCTTGACAACACTAAGAATTTTACATTGGACCAAATCAAGTAGGTCATCCCAAAATTCCCTACAATTGAAAATATATTTAAAAAATATAAAAATAATAATAAGTCAAAAGATTGCTTGTGTTTCTCCGATTCTTGGACACAGTAAACAATGCCTTGGGTCTTGATAAGTCATTAGCGACCTTACACAACCCAGACTTACCGAGGAATCAGGCGAAGATCAGCTGTTCTATCCTTATGTGAAGAACCAAACCACACTTCTAATAGTTTCTCTGTGCCCTCAAAGAAACTCATTTTGGTATGTTTCTGATTTCTTTTTCTGAAGCGATTTTGTGAGGTTACCACACGCCGAGTGATGGTTCAAGTGGAGAGCACTAGAAAAGAGCGGCGATACGGAAGAGCGCACTGGTGGGAGTGCCGACAATGGGTTCTGGCGAGCGATTTAGATGAAAGTAAAATAGGGAACATGAATATTTTTATGGCAAATTATTTTATCAAACTATAATAAAACGATCACAATATTTCAATTTCATATCTTTTATTTGGTATTTATATTTTGTAAAGACTATTTAGACATATAATCCATTTTATTATTTTTCCAATATGATTTTTAATCTATCTTCATATTACTCTTAGTTTTATAAATATCCAGCCAAAGTCCATGTCGAAAAATAAACATTGATATTTAAATATAAATAAAAAGAATATTTGTCTCTTATTTCTTATTAGGGAATTTCAGTACGTGGCAGTAACGAATTTTGTTCATGAGTTGGATAATAAATCAATGGAGAGACTATATAAGTTTTACATCGGAAATGGGTACTGGCATGTCCTAAAAAGTTCGGGAACAAGCGGAATATGGTGGACTACGATTACAAAGTAAAATGTGCTTCCGAGAGACAAAAAGTTGAGGACGAATTTGAATATGAAGGGTGCAAAGTAGGAAGGGGAACTTATGGCCATGTCTATAAAGCCAGAAGAAAAAACAGGTACGAGCAAAAGCCAAAGCAATGGCGCCGGTGCTTGGTCCTGTGAGTGGCTGCCTCTAGTTTTAACTGAAAACTCAAATTTAACGTTGATATGCAGTTATTTTTTTCTATCTAATCAGAAGTGCAAGTTACGATTTTTTCACCTGTAGCGACCTCCGGTCGTAAGACCACTAAGCCATTTCTTCCTACTTTTTCTTACAACTCAAAATCATATCTGAATAGAACCTTATTGATAAAACACCTTTTAATATAAACCACAATTACCACATAATGCATATAAATAAACCATTTTATAACCTTACCATATGCTTAGTTTGATCCACTTGCCGAGTCACTGCTCAGTGCGAGTGGATCACAACCAAACATCAGGGGTTTTTAGAATAATAATAGCATAATAGTACACAATATGTCATGATAAAAATATATAATTATGTGCCCTATCTTCTTATTTATTTTATTTGTTCCCCATGTTGGAATGTTATATGTCTGTCTTTTGGAAATAAACATATTAATAATTTGCTTAATAATGCCCACATGATGTCTTTTACAGTGATGGGCGAGAATATGCTTTGAAGCAGATAGAAGGCACAGGAATCTCAATGTCTGCGTGCAGAGAAATAGCAGTAAGCATTTCCATAAAACATTAAAAGCTGTAAACTGGATACTTTGCAACAGCAAATATTTCATTTTATTCTTACTATTATTGTTTTACAACATCTCAGAGGAAAGATATTCATTTTATTATGTAATTATCGCTAATTTTTTTTTTAATGAACTCCAAGTGTTACAGGTTTTTTTTTTTTACTTTTTTCAGCTTCTTAGAGAACTCAAGCATCCAAATGTTATTTCCTTACAAAAAGTATTTCTATCACATAGTGACAGAAAAGTGTGGTTATTGTTTGATTATGCTGAGCATGATTTATGGGTAAGTTGGTATGGATAGTTCAGAAACAATTTAGTTGATATTTTCATGAAATACAGCATTATATAATTCTATTGACAAGATATGTACAATGGACTCAGAGGTTAGATGCAAATGCATTAAGAACTCTTCCATATCTGTTATGAGATCTGTTAAAAAAAGAAAATAATATTTTCTTCTTATGATTGTTCTCCTATTTCTACATTTTTTGTTAGATATTTCATTGAACTCTTTGTAATTTCATATTTTTCAGCACATAATTAAGTTTCACAGAGCAGCAAAGGCCAACAAAAAGCCTGTAAATGTTCCTCGGAATTTTGTGAAATCTTTACTTTATCAGATCCTGGATGGAATACATTATCTTCATGCAAATTGGGTGCTACATAGAGATTTAGTAAGTTGCCTTATATCACTAATATGCAAAGAAATGGACAGGTTTCCTTTTTGTTTGGATGGTTTCACTGATCCTGTCACTTATGTGAAAAATAATATGGTTCAAAGATTTTTTTATTTATTTGAAAGCTTTGAAGAATAGAAAATGTTTTTTCAGTTACATAGGGGCAGCATTTCAATTAATGTATTTAAAATGTCACTGAATATTAGTGATTCTCTACTGTGATTTATAATATTTTGTTCTTGATGAACAACTCATATCTGATGAACCAGGTTGGTTAAAATAGAAAGTATTATTTTCAGAAACCAGCTAATATTTTAGTTATGGGCGAAGGTCCAGAGAGAGGCCGGGTTAAAATAGGTTAGTTATGCTGGTTGAAAGTGGTTACACATCAGTCATCATATTTGTAACTGTGTTAAGTTTAAGTTTATGTTTTTATAATATAGATTGATCCTGGTATGGGCAGAATGCATCCCACATGAAATGCAGTGCTTTACATATTTTATGATTTAGTTTATAATCTTACCTCCTTACATGCCAGTTTCAATTTTTGGACTTCTCACAACATTTTTCGTATCTTTGGATGTATAAATATATCTTAAATTTTACATGTAGTGGTCTCTAAATGCATCCTGTTAACCTTATTTTGGTTATTGTCATTATTTTTCAGCTGATATGGGTTTTGCCAGGTTATTCAATGCACCTCTCAAACCATTGGCAGATTTGGATCCAGTGGTTGTTACCTTCTGGTACAGAGCCCCAGAGTTACTGTTAGGTGCAAGGCATTATACTAAAGCAATAGGTAATAAAATGGGCTGAATGCTTCAAAATATGTGTATTATTTATTTTCTTTTTATGTAACAAATGACACTAAAATCTAGCAAATGTCATTGTGAATGTTTTATGTTTAACAGACTAAGAAAGAGAAGAAGTTAAACCCCTGAGACATACCAGTAAAGAATTAGCCCTTTTCTTTTAATAGCAAGGAAACCAACTCTGATTATGTTGTTTTTCTGGTATCTCCATTCGAGTTATATGACATGCAAGATAAAAATTTAAACCTTGAGACATAAAGGATAATCTCTTTTCTTTGCAGAAAAACTAATACTGACCACAGTGTTTTTATTGTATATATTCTTATGAAATAAGACAATTAAATGAGATGTCTGGTTAGTAGCTTTGCGGAAACAATTCACAACTTTTTTATCTTTCAGACATTTGGGCTATAGGCTGTATATTTGCAGAGCTTCTGACCTCAGAACCTATCTTTCACTGTAGACAGGAGGACATCAAAACCAGTAATCCATATCATCATGACCAGCTTGATAGGATATTCAATGTGATGGGATTTCCACAAGGTTTTTTTTCGGTTCCTTTATATGATGCATCTTATTTTTTATTCAATTTTTAGAGTATTAGCTGTATTACTAATCGATCAATTTTTGTTCTCTCAAATATGCCTGCTTTTAGATGGATTTTTAAAATGAATTCATGATTTATTTGATCCATATTTCGATAGTTTGTAATAAAGCTCTCATAAACCTGATTTTTTCCAAATGAAAAAGATGAATTTAGAATATTGTTTTTGTTGAAGACAAAGACTGGGAAGACATCAAAAAGATGCCTGAACATCCAACATTAATGAAGGATTTCAAGAAGTCCAGTTACGTAAATTGTACATTGACAAAATACATGGAAAAACACAAGGTGCACCCAGACAGCAAAGCATTCCGTCTTGTAAGTTTAGTTTAATTTTGAAGTGACACTTGGATATAGGCAACAACAACAAAAAAAATACACGTTTGCCTTTTCAAATGTGAATATTTGGTGCACTTTTTAAACTTGATTCCAATTAAAAAAGCACTATTACTGTTGACTTTTCACCCTGATTGCACTGGTTATCAACAAATTCAAGGCAAAGAAATTGGCAGGGCAAGTTTACAATTCACTTGCCACCACATCTGGCTCAAGTGAGTCTGTGTTACAAGATAAATTACAGAGAGAAAGGGTGCTCTTATCGTTTAAAAATTGTATTATGTAGATATATAAATCTCCTGAGACAAATGAACTTGTTCAAAAAAGATTTTATTGCATTTATTGTGGCAGAATTAATGTTAACAAGAAATTAAGATAGCAAAATTCAATTTTATTATTTTAGAATTTAGTTACTGTTTGGTTTGGGATATCAGTTTGAACCTGTTGTTATTTTTAAGTTCATTTTTTCTTCTTTCACCACCCCTGCACAGCTCCAAAAACTTCTTACAATGGACCCTACTAAAAGAATAACATCAGAACAGGCAATGCAGGATGCTTACTTTATGGAAGACCCCTCACCATGTCCTGAGTAAGATATGAATCTCTCAGAGATTTTTAGAAATTTAAGGCTATGAAAAAGTCATGTATTATCAAAGTTAAGTAATAAGCATTTGTAACAAGCATTTCAATGTACTTAAACGAACCAACTGATTGTACTTTAAAACATCACATTTTATAAACTTTTTGTGAATTAATCGGTGAATATAGTTCAATGTCATAGTGGTTTCTTTATACTATTTTTGAATGGTGTCACAATTATCTTTCAGTGTGTTTGAAGGTTTACCAATTCCTTATCCAAAGAGAGAATTTATAACAGATGATGAACCTACAAATGACAATGAGAAATCTGATAATGCAAGCAAGGTATTGGATCTCTAAGACGCCTTCTATTTTTAATTCATTTGTCTAGCATGGCATCCAAAAGGGGGAGGGTACAGCCGTATATCTTGTGTGTTCCAATGCCTTTATATAGGAGGATGTCCCTTTGTTTACAAATCAAAGCATGTTATTTCACATCATTCTTGGTATGTTATATACAGTGAAGAAAATTGGAATTTTAATACCATGATGTGCTTTTTTTAAAATAAGTCCTATTCTCCTTGACAGGCCACAGGGGGAAATGACCAGTCGTCCAGTCACGGCCAGCCACCTGCTAAACGTGTTCGGGTCATGCAGCCCAATACAAATAATGGAACAATGGTATCTAATGAGTATCAGGTAGATCTGTTCATTAAAACTGGAAATACTCCCAGCATGATAGTGGTGTTGTCTAGTACAGCTTTTGTCATCATTTACATGACAGTTTGTTCCTTGTCAGTGATTTATACAAAAATACCAATGAAAGCTTACGGAATCTAATAGCAGGCTGGCAAAAAATGCTTTGAAATCGCTTAAAAAGATGATCATCTAAATTTTGCATATGTTTAATTTTTTAATTCAAAATTTTAAAACTGACAACCACAAATGACTGAACCCAGTTCAAGTGAGTAGTTTGTACTTGATGTGTTCTCTAGCTGATGTACTTTCTAGCATGTAAACACTGAGTACATGTTCTTTCGTATGTTCAGTAGCAGTGCCTTACTGTATATCTTCAATGTATTAAGGTCAAAATTGAGAGTAAAATTAGGAGATCATGTGGAGGATTATAGTGCAACTATTTTAATTTATGTTCTACTTCTACATTTTCAAAGGAGTGTATCATAAAGCATATTTCTTAGTTCCATTCAGCAGTGAATGGAGGTTTTTCGGTATTACTTTCAAATATTTCTTTTTATACATTCATTATTTTTGGGGTCTAAAATTTGAAAAACTAAATTGTTGTATTAAAAAACAGATTTTTCTTCTGTTCTTATTCAATATTTTTATTTACAGAGAAATGTTCATGGAATGCCAGGAAACCAAGGCCAACAGCATTCATATTCCTCAACACAAAGCACTCAGGGAACTAATTCCACAGTATATGGGCAGACAAGATTTTAATACAAATTTGACAGTTTTTTAAGGATTGATAATCCCAAGATTGCATTTAATAACTTATCTAGAAGACATGTTTGCAACATGCATTAACAAACATTGCCTTATGGAAGAAATCATAATGGGAGTCTCATTTTGTTTGTAGTAATGGTATGCTTCGTTTAAGAAAACAGTAAATACTTCAGTTCAGAAAGGCATTCGTTTTTGAGGCTAATATGACAGATGCTGGTTGCTACAGTGGATGTTGAACAGACTGTTTCAAAGATAAATATGTCACTAATTATGATTAGAATCAAGTACCATATTTAATTGCTATTTGATTTTTTTAATGTGGATAGGTGTAAACAAATTCCTTCAGGTTTTCAGGAAATAAATTAATAGAAAATGCAGTTACTTTTCATTTTAAGTGCATAAAATCAAGATATAAACTAATGTTTCAATTCTTTATTTACCTTTAGAAATGTATTCTTGATTTTGAAAATGAATTCTTATCATTCATTCTAATAATGTTAGTTGCTATTTTGAATCGAGTCTTGACATTTATCAATTTGTCCAAAGTCATTCGAACTTCAATGAAGTCTCTTATATCTACATGAGGCAACACGAAACTAAATCACAATTTACATTTAAACAAAATCTGGTATTTCCAAAAATAATACAATTGCATTGTTTTAGAACAAATTGTGTTGTGATTTCCGCAATGCCCTGGCAACAGCTTGAAGATTCCATCCATGTTACTGATACTTAGACACGATTCATTTCAGTATACTGGAATTCTAATACGACAGCTGTTAAGGAGCAGTGAAAAAGTATCTGACATTCATATCTCATACAACAACACTACTATCTGCAATGGCCAGAAGATATGCTTACATTGCACTGCAACTAGGACAGTTACAGTTTCAACTAAAGAGACCATTTTTTAAATCTTCAACTTAGTATTTTGGCCCTTTACCCTGAACTATACTGAATCATGCAATCATTCCTGTTGCCAATGTATCTATAGACTTCCTGCAGATCTTTTTTTTTTTTTCTCTTTGTTTATTCAATCCTACAAAAGGGTATCAGCTGACCTACTGTTCACTGGCATAAAAACTGAAACTAAATGCAATTGAGACAAAAGCCTTTACTCAACATGAACCAAGTCAAAAATCATTTCCTTAATCTCTAAAATTACTCAGTTTTCATTTTGTTAGCATTTTATCAAATCATTTTTGTCACTTATCAAAAAATTTACAAGCCAGCAAAAACCTAGATCATTATTTCACATTATAAAGGCAAAACATCTGTACCTGTTATTCAATATACTGTTTTTCTCCTTTTTACAAATGTGATGTTTCATCACTGCCTGTGTAATCATCTGGTTTGGCCTCCCTTTGTTTTCCAGAGCCAAATATACTCGAATTTCTAGAAGGTCCTGATTGGGCAACAGGGTGTTTCTTGGTTCCAGGGAGCACTTTTAACTTTTGCCTGGCAGCTGCACCTTCTGTAGATGTGTTTGAAAATGTGTCATATTTAACATTTAATTTGTACTTACATAAGCTGTTGTAAGATAGTCCAAAATATTCTCAGACAATGAAAACCAAACCTAAATTTTGTTATTATCAAAGTAATAAAGCAATAGAATTATCTCAGGTTAAAGTAAAGGTTAGATTTATAGCTTGATATCCTCATAACAGGGGCCAGGTCTTTACCTCTGCTTCAGCCTCTATGTGCCAAGTGCTTACTTAATTAGGAGACAACGAGAACCTTTTTATTATGGTCTTTGATATAACCAAACTTGGAAACAAGCCCAGGACTCCACCAGAAACAAGCGCTTTGAAATTTGTGACCATATTTAAGACTGAAAGTGGCAACCTTATAGGCTGGATCACTTCAGGTGACTGACTGGTTCATATGGGATGTAATTTACAGAGATCTTTAAATGTAAGTTATTTTTTATAGTCCTATTGCCTATACATGTAGATGATTCCGTCAGCTCTGCTGCTCCTCCATTTCCATCACTATCTCTTCTTGGCCTAGGACCACCTCGAAATCCTCCTCTGTGCTCACATCTGTCTCTGTCATCATTTCTGTAACCACCCTTACTGCCATACCCTCTATCACGATCCCTGTATCCTACTCGATCCCCACAGTAACCTCATCTTCCCCTCAGCCTGTCTTCTCAGTGACCACCAACCACCATAGCCTGCGCCCCTGTGGTCATCTCTGTAGCCGATTAAGAAACATCAAGAACAATACTTTTACCCACTTCATATCCAGTCGTTGGCTGATGCTTGGAGTGGTTGAAAATTGTATTATTTTAGGGAATTTGCTGAGTTCTTTCTTGCTAGTTCCTTTGATTTTTTCTCTCTCCATTCACAAACTTCTGCAAATTCACAAGACTGGCACTTGAAGGCTTCTTCAATATCTACTCCTTCAACTGGCCTTTCCCCTTTCCAATACTTCATGTAATGATCACATGTCTCCTTTAACCACTCTTCATTGTACTTCACCTCTGTTATACCAATAGTGGAATTGTCTTCTTGAAAGCAGTATTCGAGAAGCAACTGGTTTATGCAGGTAAGGCTCTTCATTTTCTCAAATACACAGTCCATAAGTTCTGATAAATTAAGACAAGATAACCCATGTTCTGTAATACTGTTATTAATGTCTTCTCCAAAGTTTTTGTCCAGTTCAAGACGCAAATGCTGTGCCACAGAATATTTTGTAATTTGACCTTTTACCAAATCGTCAAATAGCTTCTTGTAAAGCATGACTTGTAAAGAGTGAGATTTGCTCTGAGCTTTTGATGGCAATGTTCTAGAAGAAGACCGCGTCTTTAATTCCAAGATGTCAAAAGTAAATGTTTCTGGGTCAAACTGTATTTCGTCTATCAATCCTATTACAAAAACATTGTGACTAAATGGAAATCCAAATATGGGTATTTCTCTCCTCATCTTTGTTCCAAGCAGAAAACTGATTACTGGAGAGTAAAGATTGAGTAGTTTTGCTGCCCAGATATCTTCATTGGAAGTAACTTTTATTTTAACCACATCATGATCTGCAAGTTCTGAAAGGAAAAAAGAAGCGGTTATGTGAAAAGGACTGTATATAGTACATGTATGTAATAATTACTAGTAATCAGTAAATATTAGTAAGAGAAAAATTACACAAGAAATTTTCACATAATTATGTGAAGTTTATTTATATAAGAAAACACATGCAATGTTTGAAACATCTGTAGATGGCTTAAAATCCATAAAAGGTTGTGTTGAAATTAATAGGATAACCATATTAAAAAAATTATACTGATCAACTGGCTCAAATTGCACACTAACCTCTTGCAAGATGCAAGTCTGTCCCTTTACTTATTGCTGGTTTTTCCACCTCCACTACTGGCAGAGTGAGGCTGTAATGTAATTTCTGCTCACACCACATCTGTGCCGTTAATGAAGAAACCCACAGGTATCCGCGACCAGGGGAGAAGAGATCCAATGGTCTAGTAGTTGTTTTTAACTTCTTGCTGACTTGTATTACTTCAGGTGGAGCTGCTGAATCATTATCTTGCTCTGAAATGTATCCAAATTCTATTGCATTTATAATGCAGAGTCTAAAATTTCAGACTAATGCATCTGCAGTTGCTGCTAAAATTACTCCGTAATCCCATCAAATTGGCACTAAAGCTAAGATTAATTATTAATCACTGTATTTTCAATGAATTTATGCAAAAAAATATTTAATTTTAATTGTGATTAAAATCTAGTTCTACTGTTTAACATCTATCGACTGGTCGAGACACCAGACAGTCAGGTAGCACGGAATTTAAATGCGTTAGCTTTCCTATCTACTGATTTTGATATGTATTATGTATCAAAAAATTAATAGTACAAATCAGAAACCGTATTTTCTGGGGGCCTTTCAATCACACTGTTGCAAAAACACCACACCTTCATAAGATCTTTTATCAAGCACTATATCTGATAAAACGCCATCATCAATATCTTCCCACAGGCTCTCGATTGACTCTTTGGAATTTTTTTCTTCAAAGTTGGCGCAATTTCTCGACCCAGAGGCTTCCATCGTTGTTGACGAGTGCAGTAGTAATATGATAGGAACTTCGTCCAAGACAGGATATTTTTACTTGATTCGATTAACAATTTTTCTCATGTTTTAATACAGAAAATAACTTGATTTTCAAATGATACCATTTTTTGAGCAACACACTGCATTGCTGCTGATATCTTGGCCAGACATACGAAACAGATGTGTTGACGTTCATTACTCCTGAACCCGAAGCATTAAATGATGTTGTATTCTTACGCCGTAGGAGTGTTGATCAAAAGTTTTAACTTTCCTTAATTACTTCAAAAATGTAGACTAACTTTCTCTCCAGGTCTATTAACATGACTTGGTCCTTTTAACTATAGAAAATTTAATTGTTTTCAAATGCTGAATGGCGCCCAGTCCTGGAACTATATTTTCTATTTTAGTGTACAAATTTTTGTTTATCATAGCAGTGCTGCGTAGTGTTGCATGGATGCAACTCTGCTGCCCATGCACATGTGTATGTTTTTATAGATTAGGCGTGTTTCTGTTCTGTTGTAGAACATGTAGTGGCAATGGATGGTAGGACAAGCACAAAACGCAGTGGAAAGAAAAGAGTGGTGACTGACCGACTGAAGAAGAGCCAAAGGAAACCCAAAAAGCTCTCCGTCAAACCACGATCCACGAATTCTTCCCGTCGAAGTGGACTGGTGTCAGATCCGTCAAGTCCAGATGTCTGCGACTCTGATATCCTGCATGAAGGTAATGATCGCATATGTCGTTAAATATATAGGGTTTTATAGCATCGTGCCTGTTTGATTCTCTCTCTCTCTCTTGCCTGTAATTCTTTCATTAATGATTTAATTCAAAATAAATGCTTATTTTTTAATTATCATAAATCATGCATTCTTAAATTAGTATTTCTAATAATTCATTTCACTAGAAGAACTCTTAGTGACAACAAAACTTCTTTTGTTCATAGAATTCAGTTATAATTTTTTTTTTTTTTTTTTTTGTTCAAAGGAAAGAAAGAATGAAAGAAGGGAAATTTGGGCTCTGTTCTCTCTGACACATTCTTCACATCGTTTTGCATTCCTAGTACTTTTTTGCCATAAAACATTTTTTTTTTAATTTTTGCATTTTTTTTTTTCAATATAAACTTGTTAGGCTATGATGTGATGTGCAATATGTTCCATTTTTTTACACCTGCTGTAGTCACTGTAATAACTTAATAATCCCTGACAGTTAATACTAGAGGTTTAATATTTTTGTGGGAAGGATTCTTAATCCATCCTGATTGTGGTTCAGAAACACTTCGTATTGTAGGAACTTATACTGGATGCATTGTCAGTCTAAGAGAAGGAACTGGTAGTAGGCATTTAATACTTCCCCTATATTCCCAGACTGAATACTGCTGCTTCAAGCATTAAATTGTCCATATTTTAACCTTCAAATGTTTTTCTATGTCTTCATCTTCTTTCAAGGTTTTGTATTCCACCTTCCCAAACTGGCCTTTAGGACAGCTATTTATAAGATTCATGACTGCTCTCTTTGATTAGAATTGTTAAGATTGTAACTTTTAAAAACCATCTAAATGTAAATTTTAAAGAGTATAAAGTAAGCCTAGATTTTGTACCTACTATTTGTGCAATATAAAAAGTGAAATTTTAAATACAGAGAAAAATTGAATTCTACAGCATATGCTTTAAAATTATTTGAAGTAATTTTTTATTCATCAGCACTTCCTTTTAAAATGCAGATACAGGAGAAAAATTTAAAAAAGCACAGCCTGAATTCCATTTGATGGAAATTGTTTATGCCACAAGCAGGTTGAAATAAAGTATTTAGGCCACACCAGTTGGTTGCTAAAACAATTGTTACAACTGTATGGCAATAGTTTAAACTGAGAAAGGTCAGTTGGTTTCATGGTCATAACTGTGTCATTAAGAGTTTTAAGTTCTTAATAAAGAGTGTTGCTAAGTCAGTTCTTTGAAAATGCATAGTTGATTGGCAAAGAAATAGTTGTGAGAAACTCAATACAGGGCTGCAAATATTTGCCAAATGACAATACAATATGCTGCTCTTGATTTTAATACCCTTTCTCTCGAGGATCAGGGCATGACTTGTGCAATATGTGCTACATAATATTTTAATAATGCCAACGTTTTCCACCTGCAGTAGAAGCGAAGCCGTTGTTTGGATATGTATTGTGCCTTCAGCGTTAAGTAAAGTTGACAGTGAGGGATATACAACAATGTACATTGTGGGGCTGTTATTCAAAGCTCCAGTGTAACACAGTGAAGGAAAATATTGTTTTGAAAAGCTTTTATGATTTTCTTCATGGTGCTTACAAGACTAGAAATATTAACTTCCATTTAACAACTTTGAGCTTTAGATCGGTAAACTTTGTGAAAGTAATGCGACTGCTAGGGTGGAAAGGGCATCGATGAGAATTCTGACCACTGAAAGAAAACGTTTGATCTTTTTTGTGAAAGGATCTCTCTTGGGAAAAGAGCTGACAGGAGTAAATAATAGACTTTATGAGAAAAGAAGTGATTCCTCCTGGCAACTTCCCTTTTATTGAATTAATGCCTTGTGTAAGTTGCGTTGTATAACATTGCCTACCTTACTATTGATTTAATTCCTTTTTTAGCACATAATGCTTAAGATACGCTTCTAGGCTGTTTGCTCATGTGATATTGCAATTTGTTCATCCTGCATTACTGAAGTCTTAAGCAACATTTAAAAATCAAAGTAAAAGACAGCTGGTTTATATTTAGTATATGTTTATTGTGACTTTTCAAATTTTGTAAGTGTTGAAAAGTCACAAAAAGATGTTAAAACATTTATTTTGCCTTTTTATTTAGATAAAGTATTGAAAAACAGACTGAACAGTTCTTATCATTATCCAAATGACCTGCAGCCACAAGGTTGACATAATCATCGTTTATAAATGTTCCTTTAATTCACTTCTCTTTGCTTAAGTCCTTACATTAATGTGGGTGATTTATGCTTTTCATGAATAAATCTTTTCTTTTGACTGATGTCCTTATCAATTTTCAAAGGCCTTTTTTTAAGGATCTTTTAGTGCAGTTGCATACAGCTCTTAAGCTACAAGTAATTTCACTTAGTTTTGCATTGCGTGTGTAATTTTATCAATACCATTCCATATCGTGAACTACCATTTGAGGCAGCTTCACTTGTTCTTCACGTTTAGATCACTGTAAGGGCTAAGTTTACTGATAATGTTCTGTTGGTGTTGTGAGTGTGATTTTAAATACAAGTTTATGATTCTATCCTTTAGGTGTAGACTCTGACTCTTCAACACAAAGAAACAAAAAGCAAAAACCACCAAGGTTAAAACAGAGCAACAAAAGGTCAAAGAAAAAGTCGCCAGCTGGTCTTTCGGCAGGGTCTCAAACTCGTCTTCCTAGTGCAATCCACAGCGGGGCCCTGGTCAGTATGATATCTAATTCCCACCAAGACATCAGCTCAGATGAACAGAATATTACAGGCAACAGAAATGATATAGACTGTCTGGCACAGTCAGTGTCAAGTGCCTCTTTATCAGTAAGCCGTAGCAGTAGTCGCTCAAATTCAAATAAACGTGAACACTCACCTCCGAAAAATGAGTTGGAGGCACTGATGCTCCGGCAGGATTTCGATGAAAGCATAAGATGGGATTATCAATTAAATGACCCAGAACTTGAAGAAGAAAGAATGAAGTATTATAAAATAAACAGGAGGAAAAGATATCTCAAGGCTGCTCAGGCCCAAGGAGTGAGGCTGTCCTGTTCGAGTAGTGCTAATTGTAGCGTCGTTGGATCAGCAAAAGAGAGGACAGATGTTGCTCCTAATAACAATCTAATACCCGACCTGATTAAGACAGGTCTGCCAAACATAGGTGCTAAGAACAGATATTCTGAACTGCTGGTGAACTACTAGATAACTTCTTAAATTCTATACCAAGTGTATCAAGGATGTTCCAGAGAGGCACCAGTAGGGGCACGTTCTTGGGGGGGTCATTTTATTCTACCTACTATCTGTAATTCTTTTTAAGTTAAGTATTGAAATCGTTATGTATGTATGACTCTTTTTCAGGACTTATTTGACATGCTCATGTTACCCTCCACCAGTGCAAGTTGAACTTTCCTGAACTATGTTGATTTATCCAAAGTTTAAGTGTTAGTAACACATCATAATGCCTTTTGAAAGGAAACTGTGATTGCTTAACATTTTGATACGTTTTCTACCTCAATCAGTTAGATTTTTCAAATCTCACTTTTTTCACTATGATCAAAAGCTCACCTTACACATAAAGGCATTAAGGTTGCAGTCTGTATAGTCACTCATGCCAGTTAGGCCAGCTTACTTCTTCCAAATGACTGTTAGTTATAATTTTGGAGTTAAATCAAATTGATATATCTCATTGCTGATGTCTTCACTGTAACTCTGCCTCCCCTTCACCTCTTGAATACTGAAGTAATTTTATGTTAATGAACTCCGTAAGCTATTAGTTTAGGTACCAATTATACATTCATTAAATTCATATTTTAAAAGTAATTTAAAACAAATGGTAAGGAAATTTTGCATTTCAAAGTAGAATTCGTAAACCATTTTAAATGCTCAATAATGCCATATTTGTATGTGAATTTGTGTGCAGAGTGCAAAGGTTGATATGACAAATGTTTGATGAGATACACTTCTTGCCAATATATTTTTATAATCAAATAAATATTAAATACTACATAATTTTTTCGGTTGGTTTCATTGAAAGTCGGTGTGAGATGAATCATGATTATCAAATGGAAACGTCTTTTTGACCAGTTGAATATGCCCATGAAAGAACAACGCATCACAATCGGGTGTGCAAAAGGCGAGTCTTTGTCACACCTATCGCAACATCGAACCCCTTGTCTTCAGGGCCAAGCGGTGCAATATCTGCCGATTTGTCATGCACAGAATTGTCAAATTTTAAGAAATGTGTGCAAACAAAACAGTCCATTTGTTCTCATAGAAAAAATGTTTATTTCAATGGAATATATTTTCCTAAATGCACCATTTTGCACAGAATTGCTGTGTGGTCGTGATATTTGCTTCTTACTATTTATTAGCGTTTGGCACCAACGTTACTCCAGTGTCCCCAAAGGAAAAGGTGTAAAATTATACAGAGAAAGCTGTTGCGTTGCTTGAATACTAACATAAAATTCGGTATGCATAAACGCGCAGAAATCCTAAAATTGACGCAAATTGCCACAGGTCTTCTATACCTGAAGGGATAACAACTGTTCGTTTTGGGAAAAAAAAGAAAAACGATTTTACCATACTTACCAATGTTTAATGAATTCATTCCGACATTCAAAGTTAGTTAATTTTTTTGAAAGTTTTTTTTAAATAGCCTCTAAAGAGATTATTACCGAGGTATAGCCATCTAAGAAAGTCCACGTGGTCTGATAACAAGTACAGAATCCAGAATAATTGCGGATAACAGCTGTTTTGGTTGTAAAATTGAGTTTATTATATTCTTATTATTTGTTTATAATGCTATTTATGTGTGGAATATTAATCTCATACAAACATTTGCTATCCTTTTAAACGAGAAAGATATGTGGTGCTTTATGACTACGTTCCATTAGTATAGCTGAAATGTTTACAAGAAAGAGTGCGATACATATGAACAGAAGCCGTTTTCATTCACTTTTGAACTTGTGAATGCAAAATAATCCAGTTAAGTGGATCGTGACTTATGTCAAAAGAGGGTGTTCAGATTTCCATGATAAGTATTTTGTGTCACAAGATGCACTTAACTCAACAGTCAACCTTCGTGTTCTTCAAGATTCTTTTTAGTCGAGTTTGCAGGGTACGTTAAGACCACACGCATCCCCGGCACAAAAAAGAGAAGAGACATCCAAAACTTCCGAACAGGAAGAAATATTGCCTTCTGAAACAATACCACTTCAGTTATCAACAGACGGCATGTCCTTTAAAGTTCACTAAAACCACTGAAAGCCAAAACTGAGTGCCAAATCCAAGTCTGCTTTTGACAAATAAAATCAAGAAAAAACAACAATGTCGACTCCTCTCTCATTAATGCCTTTCGCTTTTTATTAATTTTTTCATTTCTGGTTCATCTTCTGCTTAAGATGGTTTCTCACGTATTCGTGCTTGGACGTCATTTCTCATCCCCACCGTGCAATCTCGCGCGCTGTATTAGTCATGGCATACTTTGCCTGCTCGCTCACTTTTTTACAACATGTTGCGGTGATGTATATTCCAGTAGGTTTTGGGTCAGGCGATTGCCGCAGGGAAATGTTTAATGGTTTTAGCCGGGGACATTAGTTGGCAAGCATATTTGAAGTTGGGCACGTAGTCAGAACAGACTCTTTAGCATCTCTTTAATCTCCAAAGCAAAGCGTCGCAGTAAAGAAATTGCATCAATTCGTTCTCAATACGCGATAACATTCTATTTAAGCGATTTAACTTCCATATACGATATGTCAGTGATTCATGTTTCATGTGCCAGTGTTTAAAAACAACCATTCTTAGTCGCGTGAAGTACCAGGAAGGTTACTGATGTTAGCAGCTCTTCAACTTTTCCTGATTACAAAACGATATAAATTAGTTTCCTTGACAAAACTGAGGTAATGAACAAGTAGCTGATTAGACAATCTGACAGTTAAATCGCTGTTACGTGATATACAACCAAAGGTTGTCTGTGTCAACTACGTTGCCTAGCCACGCACTATGGAGACACAACGCATCGTCCTGTGTTGAACAGTACAATAAACAAATTTTTTTTTTAATGCTGGTTATCAGGTTTTGAAAAAATTTCAAATGCTTCAATGATTTTGTTTGTTAGGCCAATCATTCAGACTTTTTCTCTGCTTTGCATATTATTTTTCAAAGGGCATACGAGGTCATTCCGACTTCACCTATATGAAACCCCAACTCTGCGACGTGTACTTCCCTGTAAAATATGTGTTAGAGATTCTATTGCATTCCTCGTTTTTATGACCAGCGACCCTCGTCCGATGTGTGATTGCCCTTTACATTCTTCCTTTATTTGATATAAGTTTGCATACAAATGGGCATTACCACTTCGTATGCAGCTCATGCTTGACTCTGTGTTTACTATATAACATCAGTAACAAGACTAGCAAAGCGTGTGGGTACAATTCTTGCTCCAGTAGTTTTCGTGTTCGGCTGTCTTCACGCGTGCTTGGTTGTCATAAAATTTGGGAGGATTTGGACAAAGACAAGGTTGAATATCACCTGTATAAAAATGCTACCCGAGTCCTCTTTTTGCAAGAACCAGACAAGCCTTTTCTATTACAAACATGGATTTATATAAATATATATTGTTCAGATCTGACTGCAACTTACAGATCGATAATTCGAAAGAAAAGATCGTTACGTTTTAAATCAGAGCAACGCGGCAATAAAATGCCAAGGTCCTTAAAGGTTGATAGGAGACATTATTTGTTCTTAAACGGCATAGATTGGGTCAATGATACTGACTAATGGTTATACACTTGTGTATATCAAAATGTGATATCCAATAATATGTAGTGAAAAATATTAACACTTCCCCGGCATGATGAAAATAGGTGAATGCAATCTACTTGAAAAGAATAAGTAGTCTAAATATGTTCTCTCGCTCTCCTTCACTCTTTCGTTATTTTGGCTTGGTTACACCATTTTAAGTAGTGGTAATGTGCAAGGCAATATTACATCTGTGTTCTTTTAGTCTTATCCACCTGTCACTGCTAAGTAACTGTTACTATGTGTGTGATCGCCTATGGACATCATGTAATATCATTTGTTCGTGTTATGTTATCTTATCATTGTCAATATAAACGTGCTGTATTCCTTCTGTGTAATCTGGATTAATATAACATGTGTCACATGTCGATAATCATAAAATTGGCGTATCGGAGATAACCTACATTGTCATCCTCTTTCCTTGTTTAAATATGAACAGTGTATAAATAAAACAGACATAGGTGTGTCAATTGTCTATCGTACCAATCTCACAGACTGATTTCCTCTTCTGAACTGCTGCTGCCTATATTGCCGTTAACATATCGACCATAGCCAACATGACCGTTAATATCACCGTTCATTTCTCCATTCATCATGGGGCGTTGACTGTAAAACAGATCATCTTCTTCCTCTTCCTCTTTCTGAGATCCCTCCGGTCTCCAGGTGCTAATCAGAGTACCGTTGGGTGTAAACGGACCGTCCATGTCCACGGAGGTCTTGTACCACCGTCTTGTGGAGTCCGGGTGCTGTGTGAACGTGGTTATGTAGGACATCTCAGGGTTCTTAGGGAACACATACACGGTGTCAGAAAACGATTTTGGTTTGATGCGAGCTTCGTAAAACACATCGCTCCTATATCTCCGCCTCGTTGAGTCAATGTAACAGGTTACCTTGTCTCTGTAGTTCACTGGGCACCACGAGGGCCCGTTTAGTTTCACGCCATTATTGAACCGTTTCTTCACGTTGATGTCACACTGTGCTGTTACCGAGAATTCGTCGTAGGCAGGGAGACTTCCAACAGAAACGCTCTCTGAATATTTCACCGCCTTCATGGTGGGATGTCGTTTTATTATCTGTCAGGTGGTATTGAACGCCTTCACTGAACACAATCCGTCCCTATCATTTAATGATGTCGCCGCTGAATGAATGGGTGTACTAGTCAATCAGTTACATAGAAGATAACCATATATTCCTGGGCGACCAGGTACCAAATCATAAATACTTTATGATTAGGACATACAGTGTATGACACTCATTGGATTCCGCAGTTGTTTGAATTCCTAAGAGCCCTGATGTTATTCTCCACAATCCGCATGCCTCCGTGGCTGGTTTTGTGGCGGTACACCGTTCAGGTCGAGAAGCGCTCTTTATTATGTTGATTCTGTTGGCCACAATACAAGTGGGCGTAGTCTACAAGAAATGTATTCCTTGTATTTCAGTACTCCTTGAGGTGGTGGTGGGATTAATAAAACACGTCCCACGGCGGTTGAGGTAATCCTCTATATAGTGATTCAACGAGGAAATGTACTGGTGACAGCTAACAGGTTGTCGGTAAATTTATTCAATGAAGAGCTGTGTCAATACTTCCAGCGGGTCGCGGTCAAATTTCTGTTTGCACTGTGCATATTTTTTCTTCCCTCCAACAATAACATTAGGTCAGAAATACTTACCCCACATTGTCGGGTTTGGTTGATAGTTAAGAAATTAACCTTCTTCTATTACGTGGTATTGTAGTTTTAGACATTGAAACGGGCCCTCTTAAATGCACGTGTCTG